TTTTGTTGTGTGCCTCAGTCAGCAAACTATGTCCATTGATTTGAATCTCAAAGTGAAATACAGATATTTTGTGGCTGCTGTACTCCATTCAAACAATATGAGCCATGTGTATGTATGTGTGTGTGTGTGTGTATATATATATATATATATATATATAATTAAATTTTTCTGGTACTCACATTAACATATTTTTCAAAAAAGATAACAGGTGAATTTAATAATATATTTTATTTAAACTAATATATCCAAATTATCATTTCATCATGCAGTCAATATAAAATCATTAACAAGATGTTTTATGTTCTTTTTTCTCCAAGTCTTCAAAATCTGATGCGTATTTTATGCTGGCAGCCATGTCAGCTCAGATGAGCCCATTTCAAGTGCCCTGTAGCCATAGGTGGCTCGTGGCTACTATACTGAACAGCACATTCCTTTAAAATCATCTCCATCAGGTCAATAAGCGTTTATACATCTTGAGTGAAGCGGAGAGAAAAAGCAGGCAAAATAAGGAGGATTCTTTCTACCAGCCTGCAGAAATATTTGAGACCTTTGAAAGTTACTGTTTCTGTTAACTTCTTATCAATTTCATCTTGGTAATCGTGTACTTCCTCGCTTTAAGCTTCTTTGGAGGAAAAAGAAGTATTTTGGAGTTAAACTCAATATCAGTTTTAGCATGTGAAGATGGTGGTGGAAGTTTGACAAAGATTATAGTTTTGAATTGGAGCTACCAGAACTGGGCTTAAGCCACGATCATAGTTAGAGACAGACTCTCATGTAGGCATTGTGGGGGTAGTTTGCTACCTTGAGATGGGAATAGGTTTACTTAAGATCTTCCAAATTAAAGAAAATCGTCAGTGATTTGTTATTTAAATGATCTTTTTTTTTTTGGACTGCTGTTAATAGGTGGCTACAGTATCAGAAAAGTCTCGTATAATGGAGCTAGAGAAAGACCTAGCGTTGAGAGTGCAGGAAGTAGCCGAGCTGCGAAGAAGGCTCGAGTCCAATAAACCTGCCGGGGATGTTGACACGTCGCTCTCCCTTTTGCAAGAGATAAGCTCTTTGCAAGAGAAGTTAGAAGCCGCCCGTACTGACCACCAAAGAGAAATCGCTTCGCTGAAGGAGCGCTTTGGAACCCAGGAGGAGACGCATCAGAAGGAGGTGAAGGCTCTGCAGGCTGCCTCAGAGAAGCTCTCCAAGGAGAACGAGTCGCTGAAAAGCAAGCTTGACCACGCCAACAAGGAGAACTCAGACGTGATAGCCCTGTGGAAGTCCAAGCTGGAGACCGCCATCGCGTCCCACCAGCAGGCCATGGAGGAGCTGAAGGCTTCCTTCAGCAAGGGGGTGGGGACAGAGACGGCCGAACTGGCCGCACTGAAAACGCAGATAGAGAAAATGAGACTAGATTACCAGCACGAAATAGAAAGCTTGCAGAATCAACAAGACTCCGAACGGTCTGCTCACACCCAAGAGATAGAAGCCGTCAGGGCAAAGCTGATGGAGGTCATTAAGGAGAAAGAGAACAGTCTGGAAGCTGTCCAGTCGAAACTGGACAAGGCAGAAGACCAGCACCTGGTAGAAATGGAAGACGCCTTGAACAGACTGCAGGAAGCCGAGACAAAGGTAAAGGAGCTAGAGGTGCTGCAAGCCCAATGCAATGAGCAAACCAAGGTTATCGATAGTTTTACGTCGCAGCTCAAGGCTGCCGAGGAAAAGCTGCTGGATCTGGACGCTCTGCGGAAAGCCAGTTCCGAAGGTAAATTGGAGATCGAGAAACTTAGACAGCAGTTTGAGGCAGCTGAGCAACAGATTAAGAATTTAGAGGTGGAAAGGAATGCTGCAAGTGACAAGGTTTGTATTGGCATCCTTCATCTTTTTCTTTTCCATTTGCTTTTCTTATTTTTCATTGTATGGTCTTGTGGTTTTTGTTTGTTTGTTTTTTGCATTGAAGTTAACTCATCTTCCAAATCCTTGATTTAAGTAAGACGAATTGCTTAGTGCTAACAAATCTCCCCGTTTGAATATAGTACGTTTTGATCATCCTCAGTATGGTTTCATCTGAGGAAAGTGGAGAAAACAATGGCTCAATTATGTGAATTCATTTTGGTTTCCAGTGGGTTCCTTTACCTCCATGCTTTTCTGTGATCTCCCATTCAAGCTTAGTTCCAGTCTAGAATCTCTTTCTAAAATAGAGAACTCCCTAATTGATGGCGCTAAGGTAAATGAATGAATGAGTTCAATAGAAACTTACATGATCGTCTCCTTTCCCAGAGCCATAGTTGCCTTGTCTGTGAGGTCCTATATGAAAACAATGTGAGCCCCGAGCGGTACTTGGCTGTAACATATGAACATGCTGTGATGAGTAACGCTCACGGCCGAGCTCGGGTTGAGAGCCTGGAGCCCTTTGCAGGGCCTGTTAGGCCTCGTTGGAGAGTTTCTGTGCCACAAGCAGAACTCTGTCTATTTCTCCTCTGGAGGGAAAGACTGGATGAGGATGCTTTTGGTCCAAGTGTGGGACGTTAGGTGAAACGTCTGCCAGCTTCATTTCCTACAGCGAGCCTTGTTCAACAATGTCGTCTTCGTTTCATGGCTTGTTCCAGGAGCTAATGCTCTTCCCGGTCCTCCTGCCGCTCGGTGAGGCGCTGGCACTGGTGCCGAATGTTCTGAGCTTTTGGCAGGAGAAGCAGCTCTGTCGGCAAAGAAGGAAGGGTTGTGAGGGTTAAGTGGGGAGGACGGACAAATGGCAAAAATTGCTAAGTAACCTTCGTTGAAGATGATAAACTATTTACAGGAAATTTTTCTCAAATCTCCTCACTCGATTCCAAAATTCCAATCAAAATACAAAAATCTGTGGGGAATATGCAGCTAATATAAAATGGTGCACTTTTTTTTTTTTTACATCAGGATTTAATGAAAGCCCATTTCTGATGACTATGGTCTAGTGTATTTTTATAATTTCATTTTGATGTTAGCTGTTGGAATACTTTAGGCATATAAAAAATACAGAAAATGATAACCCAGACCACATGTACCCATCATTTCTATCTTAGGGCTTTTAAAGTCCAGGAAATGAAATTGCTCAACTAACTCATTCAGAAAGTAAGCATCTGCCCTTTCTGCTTTAAATCATGTTGCTATTCCAAATATAGCAATAGAAAAACACTCTAGTCTACGGCCATACCACCCTGAACGCGCCCGATCTCGTCTGATCTCGGAAGCTAAGCAGGGTCGGGCCTGGTTAGTACTTGGATGGGAGAAAAACACTCTATTTTGATTACCTTAAAATAGACATTAGGTCATTATATCTCGGACTGACTATGAAAAGTCATTTGTTTCTTAGAATAAAAAACAAAACAAAAAACGCTTTCTTACCCCCACCTTTATCCCTTTCAGTTGTGTTTGGTTGTGTTTGTTTCTCATAATATTTTTGTGTTTTATTTTTTTGTTTCTCATTATTATTTCATTTTTGTTCATTTGCTTCTGCACCACGTAACTGTATGGTAGGCTAGTAGCATTTCCAAAGAGCTGCAGGGGAAAGAGCTCACACTCAGCAAACTCCAGGACCACGTGAGTGAAGTCAGTCACGTGAAAGAGGCTTTGGAGAAAGAACTTCAGGTGTTGGTAAGTACCTCCTGGGAGCCTGAGTCTCTGGCCAGTCGAATTGTTCCTGTTTACAAACAAACATCTCCACAAAGAAAAAGCATTGTACCTAGTTCATTCTCTTTCAAAGTACTGATTTAAATCAGACTTACTAGTAATTGGCTGCTAAATACCTTGAGGGAAGTCATATCATACCCAAACTAGCAACAAAGGTAGGTATTACAGTCGTCCCCCCTTATCCGAGAGAGATACTAGAACTAAGACCCCTGTGGATGCCTGAAACTGCGAGGGTACCGAACCCTGTATGTACTGTGTTTTTTCCTATGCTATACAGATCTTTGATAAGTTTAATTTATCAGTTAGGCACAGTAAGAGATTAACAATAACTAATAAAATAGAACAGTGATAACAATGTACTGTAATAAACGTTATGTGGTCACTCGTTTCAGGGGCCCCTTGCTGAAGTCCTTGTACAGGCTCAGTGCTTTCTGGCACAAAATCTTGTCATTAATTGAGACATGTTTTCTGCTTGTCCACCCACACATTTTTAAAAAAATATTTTTATTGATTTCAGAAAGGAAGGGAGAGGGAGAGAGAGATAGGAACATCGGTGATGAGAGAGAATCATTGATCAGCTGCCTCCTGCATGCCCCCTACTGGGAATCAAGCCCACAACCTAGGCATCTGCCCTGACCAGGAATTGAACTGTGACCTTCTGGTTCATAGGTTGACATTCAACCACTGAGCCATGCCGGCTGTGCCACCCATACATTTAATGCCTTTCCCATCAAGCACTTATCACGCACTGTGGCCCTAACTTTTGGAGTTTGAGGTGCAACACCAAGACTAACAGGAATTTCTGTTCCTTCACAACTTCACTGACAGAAGATTCTCACCTCAGCATACAATTTTTTTTTCTTTCCTTAATAAGTTGAGCACTTTCACCTTTTCCCTTGTAGGGGTGGGGAACGTCCAGCCCGTGGGCCATATATGGCCTAAGAAATCATTTGACCTGGCCCTGCCAAGGCATTAGGGATGAGTTGGTTAAATGTTTGACCAAATACCACATGCCAGTTTTTAAGGTGATAATTTTGTGTGGTCCGTGAATGGTGTTATAAATATCCCTATGGCCCTGGGCAGAAATAAGGTTCCCCACCCTGAAAAGCAGCACGTGATGCTGATCTTTGCCTGTCTGAATCGCCAGCACCACTGCTCTAACGGCTGTTATTCAGTAAAATAAGGGTGACTTGCAATAAGCATTGCGATATCTCGACAGTCGATTTGATAACCAGGAAGGCTACCAAGGTACTAAGGGGCAGCTGGAGTATCCATCATGGAGACGCCAGACAAGGGGATGAGGCACGTCTGGGCGGGACAGAGTGGGATGGCACAAGATTTCATCACGCTCCTCAGAACAGCACACAATTTACAACGTTTGAATTGTTTATTTTCTGGATTCCACATTTCGTATTTTCAGACGTTGGTTGACTGTGGAACTGAAACCATGGAAAGTGAAACTGTGCTTAAGGGGACCTTCAAAAATAACCTGTCCTTTGCTCTGCTGATAGCATGTTGCTTTGGCATGCTATTGAGTGCTTAGTTTTATTAGACACAGGGACCTTCCTAGTTATGCACCCGGCACGTTTGGTTTCATGTATGATGAGGCCATGCACTGTGTCTTCTCCATTTGCCTGGTACAGCCAGCCATCCTGGACCCCTGGACCCTCTGTTAGCAAGGCAGGTCCTGATTCCGCAGATTCACACAACTCTGTCTTACAACTTAGCTTATTCACATCAGGAAATGCCTTTTTATTTCCTATATCCTCGTTCCCTAATCCCAAGTGGTATGGTATTTTTTTTCTTTGTTTTTCTCAACTGTTCTTCCTACCTTGCCTCTTGCATCAAAAACATGAGCTTAATCAAGGTTGATCACCATAAGCAGTGCCAGTGATACCCAGACATTGTGGGAAAGGAAAGTCGTAGGCTTATTATGGAGGAACAAGGTAAGAGAAGCATGTTCCACACTATGCACGCACATGCATATACTTAAATATGTGTGCACACTCACACATATATCCAGATGCATGTGTGTGCCCAGGCATGCACACACGCACATGCAAACCTCATGCACTCGTGCTTATACAGGCATAGTATGCATACGGTAGTAATTGATGCCTTCGTGTTTTAAGTGTAAGTTAGTTTTAATGAAACGAAACCAACCACAAAAATTAGGTAGCGTAGTTAGAACTGAAACATTTAGTTTTCATAATTTTGAAATCTCTCTATTCTGAATACCCAATTCTTTTTTCTTTAGAAAGAAAAGTTTGCTGGCGCTTCAGAGGAGGCGGTTTCTGTCCAGAGGAATATGCAAGGTATATGTTTCTCTTTTCTTTATTAAATATGTTTTATTGATTTCAGAGAGGACGGGAGACAGGGAGAGAGACATCAGTGATGAGAGAGAACCATTGATTGGCTGCCTTCTGCGTGCTTCACACTGGGAATTGGACCCACAACCTGGGTATGTGCCCTGACCCGGAATCGAACCATGACCTTGGTCAAAGGTCAACGCTCAACCACTGAGCCATGCTGGCTGGGCTGCACAGTATGTGTTTCTAGTGTGTGAGCAGATTGCGTTAGAGAATGTCCCGTTCTCACAGTGGAGCTGGCCCCTGCAGTACACAAAGTCCATGCTGCCCACAGCCCGACTGCACCATCCTCGAGGCCCCTGCAGTGTCCAGTAATACTGCATTCCATTGGCTCCCTAAAGCCTCAAATGCCAGCAATTTTTTTTCTTTTATTTTTATCGATTTTAGAGAGAGGAAGGAAGAGAGGGAGGGAGAGAGAGAGAAAGAGAAACATTGATTTGAGAGAGAAACACCTATGGGTTGCCTCCCGCACACCCCCCGACCGGGGTTCATCAAACCCACAACCTGTGTATGTGCGCTGACCAGGAATTAAACCCTCCACCTTTTGGTGTATGGGATGATGTTCCAACCAATTGAGCCACACCAGCCAGGGCATTATTTTCTTCTTTTGACTTAAAGTTTGTTTCATATTAAAATGTAAGCGTACTTAAGAAAAGTATTATCTTGCCTAAGCTTCAGTCCCTGATAGCTCTGTTGAGTTTTAAGTGGAAGGATGCCTGGTGCCTGCCTAATCTACAGATTTGCGGAGGCAAAAGAGATACGTGCTTATATTCTTGAGGTTCATTATACAGTGTTTGATTTGCAATGGGACTTTGTAGTATTCCTGTGACTTCAAATCTCACGCATATGATTTGCCAAGCTCTAGATGGCTTGTTAAATATGAAATATATTAAACTTTTCACTTTATCCTAAATAGAAACTGTAAATAAATTACACCAAAAAGAGGAGCAGTTTAATGCGCTGTCTTCTGAATTGGAGAAGTTGCGAGAAAACCTAACAGGTAAGAAGATATGTCTGGTTACTAAACATTAAGTATAATAGGCTCCCTAGGATTTGAGATAATTGCAGTATGTTGGAGTAACACATCTTTTCAGGCTTAATGTCTTCACTCACTATGGTGATATAATGGGACAGAATACCTGTTTGAGGTCCGTAACCTTCAGCAAACCCTCTCGGTCCTGTTTTCAAACGAGCCAGTGTCCAACAACATCGCTCCACTCCCACTGCTGTCCTTGACCCAAGCCAACCACCTTGCATCTGAGCTACTCCAACAGTTGGCCTCCTGCCTGCTTCTGCCCTTGTTCCCTTCTGTCTGTTCTCAGCACAGCAGCCGGAGCGATCCTCCAGCATCAAGTCAGCGCCCAGCTCCTGCCACTCCTCTGCTCAGGATCGCCCATTGGCTCCCAGATCACTCAGGACCAGAGGCTGTGGTCCTTACCATCACAGGCTCTGCTCCCTCCCTACTTCCTCTTGCACTAGTTTTCTCGTCGTCCTTTCCACTCCAGCCGCAGTGGCCTCCGTGGAGACACCTGCATGTCAAGCACGCTCTTGCCTTGGGGCCTTTGCGCTCACTCTCCCCTCTGCCTGCAGCCCCTTTGCTTTACTTCCTTCAGGTCTTAACTGTCACGTCTCAGGGAGGCCTTATCAGAGATTTAACCCCCCAACTTCTTTCTTGCTCCTTTCTCTGCTTGTATTTTCTTCCTCTTAGCACTCAGCACTGTCTGTTATAGTGTTTCCTTTCGTTATTGATCTTGTTTATTGCTTGTCTTCTTTGCTAGAGTATAATTTTCACAGGGATTGCTATATGTAAATGTCCTCAGAGCAAGGCTGGTGTATGGGATACAGGGAGTCCGTTTTTGTTCATTATAACAGCAGTGCTATTTTTTTTCTGTGTCTATTCAGGCATGGAGGCAAAATTTAGAGAGAGAGATGAAAGAGAAGATCAGTTGATCAAGGCAAAAGAAAAGCTGGAAAATGACATTGCAGAAATAATGAAAATGTCAGGAGATAATTCTTCTCAGTTGACAAAAATGAATGACGAGTTACGTCAGAAAGAAAGGTACGTATGAATGCTCATGAGAGTGCCTGCTTTAGGTGAGGCTCTGAGGCAGGGCCTCGGTGGAGGGCAGCCCAGATCTTCAGGGCTGTTGTGTTTTCTTTCCCGTCTCTTCTTTCTCTTATTACCTCAGTGTATACTTGAGTCTACTACTTAACCTCTAAGGAATACAATATTGTAGACCTTCCGTTGACTTGTTAGGAAAAGGTAGTTTATCAATGGCAGTAACATCTTTTACAGGCAGTTAAAAATATTTTTAAAATATGTTTTTATTGATTTGAGAGAGAGAGAGAGAGAGCTAGGAAGAGGGAGAGAGATAGAAACATCAGTAATGAGAATCATCAATTGGCTGCCTCCTGGATCCACCCCCCGCACCCCCTACCCCATCTCCAGGGATGGAGTCTGCAACCTGGGCATGTGCCCTGACTGGGAATCAAACTGGTGACCGCTAGGTGCATGGGATGATGCTCAACCAACTGAGCAACACTGGCTGGGCAGCAGTTAAAAATGTTTTTACTGCCCTTACTATTTCCTAATTCTCATAGTAATCCTATGAGGTGAGGATATTATTGTTCCCATTTTAAAGAAAAGGAAACTAAGGCTTAATGAGGTTCAGTAACTTGCCTGAGGTTTCAGAGCTAGGCAGTCCAGTTCCCAGTCCTTGCTGCTCTTAATCGCTCCATTGTACTTCCTCAGTGCTAATGCTTCTGTTATCCCAATCTCTGCTCTTGTCTTTATTCTGAGGTCTTGTTTGATTTTTTTCTCCTTTTGATAGCTGCCATATAGAAATAAAATGTTTTATAAAGCAAACACTTTCAGAGGACACTTTAGGACAGGGTCCTCAAACTACGGCCCGTGGGCCACATGCAAATACAAATATTGTATTTGTTCCCGTTTTGTTTTTTTACTTCAAAATAAGATATGTGCAGTGTGCATAGGAATTTGTTCATAGTTTTTTTTTAAACTATAGTCCGGCCCTCCAACGGTCTGAGGGACAGTGAACTGGCCCCCTGTTTAAAAAGTTTGAGGACTCCTGCTTTAGGACCACTAGACTTCAGATTCTGAAATTGTCACTACTTGGACAAGTTACGTTTACACTTTGCCATACACCACACACAGTTCAGTGTTAGTGGGTGACTGGCGACTGGGCCTTGCCTGACCGACGTTGGTCAGACTTGCTGTGAGGCGGGTGCCGCTGGTGGCCGTGACGCGGGGTCTTGGAGCAGTTCCGTTGCCGTAGGTGTTTTATAGGAGTAACGCCCAGAGGTACCACAGGTTTCCCTTCTCCATTTCTAGGCTGATGTCCCATGTTTTCTGTGCATCTTTGTTCGACCACATGGTTATATCTTTTTTTAAAAAATATATTTTTTATTGATTTCAGAGAGGAAGGGAGAGATAGAAAAATTAATGATGAGAGAGAATCATTGATCAGCTGCCTCCTGCCCGCCCCTACTGGGAATCAAGCCCACAACCTGGGCATGTGCCTTGAGCCAGAACTGAACCCGGACCCCTTCAGTCCACGGGCCGATGCTCTGTCCACTGAGCCACACCAGCTGGGGCCTGAATGACTTTCAACCATCAGCCCTGGAAAATGTCCAGAAGAACATGGGGGAGAAAATAAAATCTGTACAGATACAGAGGAACACAGGCTCCTCCCTACACTCACAGACGTTGGGCTGCTTCCCATAATGCCTCTCTTCACCTCTCACTCCAACATTCCTTAGGCTCTGCCTTGGAGTTATCGCTGTCATGTGACCACTTTTCACTACCCCAATTGCCCGCTCACAGGTCAACGCTGCCCTCACCTCCTGCCTAGAATGCTGCTCAAATCCGTTAACAGGCTTCCTCTTCTCATCTTTGCCTGCAGAGTATGTGTTAACGCAGCTGCCGCAACGGTCTTTTAAAATATAAGGCAATTCCTGTGGTCCCCTTGCTCAAACCCTGGGAGCACATGGGACTGTTTGCTGGCAGTTAAGTTGTGGTGAGGCGACTCATTTCTTCTCTCGGGGCTCCCGCAGGAAAAGAAGATGGAGACGAGCCACAACCAGTGTCAAGATCTGAAAGCCAGGTACGAGGAAGCCAGTTCTGAGACCAAGGCGAAGCATGAGGAGGCTCTGCAGAAGCTGCAGACGCTGCTGCGGGGCACCGAGGAGAGGCTGGCGGCCACCCAGGAGCAGAACAAGGACTTGTTGCAGGAAGTGGTGGAACTGAAAAAACAAGCAGAGGATGCTAGAGTAAGTGGCAGAGGGAATTACGTTGCATTTGTTTGCTTGGGTTCTGCTTCAGGCTGGAAGGGCCCTTAGCAAGTGGCAGCTAGGGAGATGAGCTTGACAAATGTTCGCCTTGCCAATGCATGGCCTCATGGTGAATCACATTTCCCACCAGCCGCTGTCTTTGTCCGGGGTAGGCCGTAGCTGCAGGTCTCTTCCCCTGAGCGTACCATGTGGCCATCACCCCCTCTGCTGTCACAAAGAGTCAGAAGTGGCTGAGATCGGTCTGCCTTCTTGGAATAGACTCTTTGTTGTGGAAAAGCTTGTTCCTCTAATCTTGGCCATCTTGCAGCCAGCTTGTGCTAGGGGCTAGGAGAGACCTGTTGCAGAAAAGCCAGAGGCAGAGGCCTGGTGCAGAGGGAATGGAGCCTGGTTGGAGGAACAGCTCCAAGAGATTAGGACCCTGGAAAGCACTTTTGCATGCTCCCCAGGAAGGCATAGTGAGCTTATTGACAGGGAAGCTGGATTCAGGACCCGCAAGGAAACACCTGTTATTAAATAGAGTAGAACTTGATGTGCTGCATTTCGTTTTGTGGTCAGGATTGTATCTGTACCCAAGTAGATTTTTTTGACCCTGGTAACTTCATGTTCAACCTTTCTACTAATTTTTAACTTTTTCTTACTGCCATTTAACTTACTGAAAGAAAAGTAAATACTTGTCTTTATTTTTAATGTTCCAGAGAAATGTTTATAGAGGAGGAGTTTGCTAGAAAGAAAATCTACAAAGAGCATCTGTAGGTCTTGAAACGGATTCCATTTAAAACTTGTAAATTAAGTGGATCGTAACACAATATATGTCATGTATAAGATGCCTAAGTTTTCTCCTTCCTGCATGCTGGCCACCAGGGCTTTCTCTTCTCCCTCCCTGTAGAGTATCTAAAGATTTATGAGCCATTCACTTAACACTGGATGTAAGTTCCAGATCTTCTGTCTTTGTGGTTCCCTTGATCTGGACAGACTCCAGTTTTTTTCGTGTTTCCCTTAAAACTGTTGCAGCCTGACCTGACCCCAGCATTCTAGTAGTTTGTGTAAAGTCTCATTGATCTTGTTTCTGGCTGGGTGTTTGTTTGTTTGTTTGTTTGTTTACAAGGTCATTTGGTTCACATGCCGGCATTGCTCCCCCTCCAAAGTGTCTGGATATTCGGTTTCTGTGGCTTTCGATGTTTGTCAACAACACTGGCTCACAGGCTCTTTTTGAGAATCTGATGAAATCTTAAGATGTTTTTCCTGAGAAAGTTTACATATACACTCAACAAGTTTATGTGACATTCCAGGAGGTGCATGGAGCCCAGGAAGCCTCTGTTTCCCCGGATCTATAGCTGTGCTGTTCAGGACAGTAACCACTAGCCACGTGTGGCCATTCAAATGTAAATTAGTCAAATATATATACACACATATATATATGTATATATATGTGTATATATATATATGTTGGATTGTGTTTTTAAGGATTTCAAATGCACATTTCTATGATAATTGGTCTATATATTGCATTGTGTGCCCACCACCCAAAGTCTCATCATCTTCCGCCACCATACATTTGGCCCTCTTTACCCTTTACTACTCCCCGCCCCTCTTCCCACCGGGGGCCACCATACTGTTTGTGTCAGTTTTGTATCCCACATATGACTGAAATCACGTGGTTCATAGCTTTTTCTTCCTGACTCATTCGCTTTGCATGATAAGTCAGATTGTAGTAAGGTCGGCCGTTTAGTCACACTCACTGTGCTCAAGAGCTCGCACATGTGGCTAGAGGCTAGCACACAGGCCCGTGCAGACGGAGCACATCTACACCATTGCTGAAAGTTCTGGACGGCGCTGGTAGACACACTGTGGTCAATTTATGTATCTGTAAACCAGTGCATTTGTTTAAAAACCCACTTATTTTCATTGCCAGAGCTTAGCGAAGTAATCTGTATTTTTAATGTTGTATGTAATAATGGGACTAGATCCGTGTCAGGCCAGCAACTCTCCTTTAGTAAGTAAGGGCCTGCCGTGAGTTTGAAAGCAACAGATTTTTTTCCCTTGCCCTTACCTCGTCACTGCCCCCTACCCCCTGCACTTTTATTTTTTGAAAATATGCTCACTTTTTATAGTTTGTTGGATTGTATTTTTAAAGATTCTTTTGTGCCTCCATTCTACATAGACATTGTTGGATAATTAGAATGGCAGGGGAGAATCTTACGCCCGATGTCAAAAATCACACTACTGTTTTTTCTTTTTAATTTATATATTTTTATTTATTTCAGAGAGGAAGGGAGAGGGAGAGATAGAAACATCAGTGATGAGAGAGAATCATTGATTGGCTGCCTCCTGCACACCCCACACTGGGGACTGAGCCCGTAACCTGGGCTTGCGCCCTGACCAGGAATCGAACTGTGACCTCCTGGTTCATAGGTTGACACTCAACCATGGAAGCATGCCAGCCAGGCCACACTACTGTTTTTACCTTAAGAAAGCTATCAAGAATAATCTCAAAAATTCTCGAAAGATAAAAGAAACTAATAGCTGTCTCGGCCCTTTGCAGAGCTAATCCCGCTCTGTCGTATCTTTTATGGGCTCTGTTCTTCAGTGACATTTATTATAAAAATTTTAACTTTTATGATTTAGGCTACATTAAGTTATCTGGGCTTGCATGTGTCCTCTTGATTTCACCTTATTTCCATTCTCCCCACCTTTTGTTTCTGTAGTCGCTAACTTGTTTGTTAACATCAGCCCAAAGAGAAACCGAGCTAATGTCAGAAGAGCTGAGGGGTCTGAGGTCAGAGAAGCAGCTTCTGGCGCAGGAGGGCAATGCTTTAAAGTCAGAGAAAGGTGCGCTCATGTCCAAGCTGGTAGAGGCAGAGACCAGAGTAACGTTCCTCCAGGAGGACCAGCGGAAGCTGTGGTCGATAAACGAAGCCCTCAATTTAGAAAAGGAGCAACTCTTAGAAGAAAAGCTGCATCAGCAGGGGCAGCTCCAGAGTGAAGCTCTGGCTGCAGAGAGAGAGAAGCTGCTTCAAGGAGTCACTGTGACACAGGAAGAGCTCCTGAAGGTGCGCACGGAGAACGCCTCTCTGCAGGCTTCCAGAGCCGCCCTGCAGGCCCTCGTGGAGGAGCTCCAGTTCAGCAAGGAGAGCCTGACCGCCGAGTGCCAGAAGGACCGGGAAGAAAAAGACCGCCTGGAGGACCGCGTCAAGAAGCTCGTGAGCGAGAACCTTGCTGTGGCTAAAGATAAAGACAAGACGATTAAGAAGCTGCAGAGCTCTTACGAGGAGCTGGTCAGAGACCAGAAGGCCTTGGTGCAGGAGATCAAAGATCTCACGGCGGAGAAAAAGTCAGCGGCGGAGAAGCAGTCGGGCCTTGAAAACATATGCGTAGCCCTAAAGGTCGAAATGGATGGGCTCTTGCAGAGCAGCAGGGACCTGCAGCTGGAGAAGGGCGCACTGCTTCAGGATCAGGACAAGCTCAGCGCCAGCCTGGCCACTGCGCTCCAGGTCAAACAGCTGCTCAGCGCCGAAGCCATCGGGCTCCGTGCGCAGCTGGACACCGCCAGCAAAGGGCTGAGGAAGGCCGAGCTGGAGGCCATGCAGCTTCAGGCTGCGAACACCAGCCTCACGAAGCTCCTGGAGGAGGTTAAGGCCAGCCGGGAGATGACGGACTCCGAGTGCATCCAGCTCCTGCACGAGAAGGAGATCCTGGCCGTGTCTGAGAGGAGGCTCCTGGCCGAGAAGGAAGAACTCGTGCGTGAAAATAGGCTCGTCATTGAGAAACTCGGCCAGTGCTCTGGGGAGGCCGTGCGCGTGGAGACGAGCCTGAACGAGAAGATCGCGTACCTGACCTCGGAGAAGGAGACGGTTTGTCAGAAAGTGGCTAAGATCAAAAGGCAGCTGGACAGCCTCCTGAAGGAAAAGTCTGTGCTGGAAACACAGAACGGAGATTTACTGGCAGAAAGAGAGAATTCCATCAACTGCATAGGAGAGCTTAAAAGGAAGTACGAGCAAGAGTCTGCAAACAGGAGGCTCGTCGTGCAAGAGAAGATGAAGCTCTTGGGTAACCTCGATGCTCTGAAGAAAGAGCTCCAGGAGAGAAAAAAGGAAAACCAAGAACTGGCCACCGCCAAGTGCGAGCTCTCACTGATGCTGAAAGAGGCCCAGAGCGCCAAGGAGCACCTGGAAAAGGAGCACACCCACATCCAGCAGGCCAGGGAGGGCCTGAAGGCTGAGCTGGAAACGTGCTGCTCCGAGAAGGACCAGATGCTGAGGGACGGGCGGAGCCTGCAGGAGGAGTGCCAGAAACTGAAGGAGGAGGTGCGTGCGGTGCAGCAGTCCTTGCTCCTGGAGCAGGAGGCCTGGGCCAAGGAGAGCGAGTCAGCCTCCTACGAGAACAGCAAGTTACTTGGGAGGGCAGCGCGCCTGGAGCAGGAGCTGGAAGAGCTGAGAGCATCCACCAAGGAGCTCCAGGCCGAAAACGTGGGGCTTGTCCAAGAGAAGAGCACCTCCGAGCAGAAGGTGGCGGAGATCCTGAAGGAAAAGGAGCTCCTGACTGCAGAAACGGCGCGGCTGGCTGCCAACATCGAGACGCTGCGCAGCGACTTCGCCTCCCTGTCCAAGTCCAAGCTGGAGTTGCAGGAGCTGCACAGCTGCCTCAGCAAGATCCTGGATGACCTGCGGCTGAGCCACCAGGCGGCCGTGGCCGATCGGGCCCAGGCGCTGCAGGACAACAGCAGCCTGCTGGCCGAGAAGAGGGAAGTGGCGCTGAAGTGGGATGAGCTCCTGAAGGAGAAGGAGACGCTGGCTGAAAGCTACTTCATCCTCCAGAAGGAGATCAGCCAGCTGGCCAAAACCAACAGCCACATTTCTGCCAACCTCCTAGAGTCTCAGAACGAAAATCGTATCTTGAGGAAAGACAAGAGCAAGCTCACCCTTAAAATTAGAGAGCTCGAGACACTTCACTCGTTCACGGTAACGTGGGAGGCCCCAGCCCTGAGCACTGGACTAACACTGCACTGACTCCTGGTGGCCAGGGCGTTTGTGTCCGTTTCCCTAAAGCCAGTCCACCCCATTTTCTCCGTTGTTTGTATGTTTCCAGCTGTTTGTTGCCACCCGAAAGGGCACTTCTTTACTAAGTGTCTAATTGCAGGTCTTTCTCCATTAGAAAGAGTTGTGAACTGTGAATAACAAGGATATACTTTTTAACTTGAGGGGGAAATTTTCATGAAAAAGTCAAATGGGGCTCTTTTTTTAAAATATGTTTTTATTGATTTCAGAGAGGAAGGGAGAGGGAGAGATAGAAACATCAGTGATGAGAGAGAATCATCGATCCGCTGCCTCCTGCACATCCCACACTGGGGATCGAACCCACAACCTAGGCATGTGCCCTGACCAGGAATCGAACCGGTTCATAGTTCGATGCTCAACCACTGAGCCACACCAGCTGGGCTCAAATATGGTTAAGGCTTATGAACACTAGTAAAATGGGCACATTGTTGAAATATATAGTGTCCTCTATTTGGCTTTTTACTGTTTCGTTGTGTCCGTCCATTTGGAGTTGGAAGGCTCCAGTGGAACCTGCAGGGCTGGGAACAGGGAAGGCATAACACTGAATTCCCCTATGTGTCACTGGACCACTTGTAGTTGCAAGCAGCTGCCTAAAAAGGTTTTCATTTATTTTATGATTTTTTTCTTTTACAGATTGCCAGCTAAGGGTTTATTTCCCTATTCATATTATCTTTTTTATTCACAGCCATGTTTATATTCATTACCCACCACTTCTCACAGACATTTCCATTCAGTGCTACTCCTTAAGCACTTGACCCTTATATTCTAATTGCGCAAATAATTTTTATTTTTATTTGAAAAATTCCCCACCTCAATTCTGAGTGGTTTCAAAAGCCCCCCAGTTTGAACTAGCAAGGCCAGTATTGTAAGCCTAGAACGGGTACATGTGATTAAGAGAAAAATGCAGCCATGAAAGGGTATTGCTCTTGGTCGTCACTGCATATTTCTCTCAAGCCTAAGCCTGGATGGCGAGTGTGACTGTCAGTGTCGCTCAGAAGGCACAGGTTCAGAGGGGCCAATGGTAATCGGTTTACTGAGAGATGGCCTGGGAAGGGAGCAGAGCCCCTCATGTCTCAGTCAGCGTGTGCGGACCTCAGGCGGGCCCGTCCCTGTGTGACCCCTGTGCAGCGCAGCCTGGGCGTTGACCTCGCGGGGTTGGCGAGCGTGGCCCCGTGCCTCACAGTGCTTTCTTGTATTTAGGCTGCACAGACAGCAGAAGACGCCATGCAGATCATGGAGCAGATGACCAAAGAGAAGTCGGAAACTCTCGCCTTCTTGGAGGATACCAAGCAAACCAATGAAAAACTCCAGAATGAAGTAATCAGATTTAAATGGCTTTTTGTACAGAGGACAGCTTATCGACTTCACGGGATGTTTGATCATTAACTCAGGATTGTTTATTTTTTTTGAAGCGTGGCCTCATGCAGGTTTGATCTTCGTTAGCGGAGTCGAATGTACACCAGAACCACGATAATATTAAATAAAGTGTATTACTTCATTGCTTCCCTAGTAGGATCCACCTTTTAAAAACAAGGGGAAAACCCTAACAGCGTGGCTTTCTGTGGTGACTGTTTGATAGAACTGCTGAGAGGAGGCACTGACAACATGCTCTAGTTTTTGTGTCTTTTCTCTTAGATCACACACACTTTTTTTTTCTCCAACTCTCTCCCAACTTTGAGCCACTAAATTTCATTCCTCAGCTCCGAGTTTAACGTAGGCCTTTTCTTGGCCTAATTCAGTACTGGTTCCCAATTGTGTCATCTCGAATTCGTCACTTCTGGGTCTTGGATACATTTGTGGTGTCGAGATCATTTCGATTCTGTCCAAAAGTAGCATTCTCGTTCTTATACCCTCCTCTGATTTCCCTCCTCCACCCTCCAACTCATATTAGTCCTTTCTGCCTTTGGAAAGATGTTACCTAAATCCTAAGCAGGGTGATTCACTGGAATAGTGTACATAAAATTCTATAGAACTTCAGGTACTTTTATTTTTTATTGTATCTTAAAATATATTTCTATTGATTACAGAGAGGAAGAGAGAGTTAGAAACATCAATGGTGAGAGAGAATCATTGACTGGCTGCCTCCTGCATATCCCCTACTGGGGATCAAGCCTGCAACCCAGACATATGCCCTTGACTGGAATCAACCCAGGACCCTTCAGTCCACAGGCTGATGCTCTATGCACTGAGCCAAACCATCTAGGGCCTTTGGGTACTTTTAAACATAATAAGCAGATAAGACATTAAGTAAAGCACGATAAAGACATGGCCTTCTCATTATGGAAGATCCAGGATGCGAATGTGTGAAAGACATGAGCATTTTGAGATAATTACACGGTAGGGAGTACAGTGGGGCCTTGACTTCAAGTTTAATTCGTTCCATGACGGAGCTCGTAACAAAGTACTCGTATGTCAAATCAAAAATTGAACGAGTGAGACACGTGATGCTGGGCTGATGTTGTGGCGTTCACTGTGACGTTCGCTGCGCCAACTAGCGGTGGGGTATCTGAAGCTGGCTCGTAATCCGAATTTTAGCTCGCAACTCAAAGCAAAGAATCGGCCGAGAGACGGCTCGTATCTCGAAAAACTCGTTAGTCAGGACACTCGTAAGTCAAGGCCCCACTGTATATTTATAGAATTGACAGTCTTTGGAGAAGACTTTAAGCTAAAAATATAAAAACATTTTAAAAATCATTGGTGATCATCAACATTAGAAGCTAAAGTAAATGAGAAGGTTTTAGGGACTGGCTCTCACCTCTGAGGCTAGAATCGTGTGCCTCAATAGCATACGCCCAGGTGTCTTGGTTGCAGCCAGAATGAATCGAGGCTGTATGAATCATTTTCTGGACCCACTGTGATATTTTGTTTCTCTTGTTCTGTGTTACTGGAATGTTAGAGGGCACGAACAGGAAGATGGTGTGTAAAAATTAGCAAGACACTTTTTAGGACTCCTGACTGGTGACCTGTGGCAGAGAAAAAGTCTCTCTGGCCATGGGAGATAAGTATACAAATCCCAGAGAGCCAGCCGGCGCCCGGAGCACACACTGTGTGATGGGTGACCCCCTAAAGGGTTCCCCACCTAGAACTGCATTCCCTGCAAGAGCCTGTGATTGGTCACATCCCCACTCACCCCTGTTCCACGTCTGGATTCCCGCCAGGGGCCAGGCAGACCCTACTCCTGGCTGTGTCCCCCGTGGGCAGGTGGTGGGGCTGAGCCTGTGTGAGCGCCTTTTGGTGCCACTACATGGCTTTTTCCTTCTCAGATTGAAGTTCCTGTGCGTAACTCTTATCCCCTGTCCACACACGTTTTGTTTCAAGTAACTTTTACAATGAGGACTATGTAAAATTGGTACTGGTGCTGAAAAATATCATAGCCTAAATCACTAATTTTAAGGAGAGAGGTTTTTTTTTTTTTTTTTCATTACAATGAACAACACTTACTGAGGTCAAGCCTTTGCAATTTCTTTCTTTCTTTCTTTCTTTCTTTCTTTTAAGATGGTTCATACTTGAATAGCAAGTTCAATGATAAATGTCAGGAATTGTACACAAGGTGAAATGAAACTTTCGTTTTAACTTACGAAGCAGTTTAGTCTGACATTTTGACCAAGTGTACAGGAATCCAACTAGGTGTAAAGGGGGGTGGTTTACAGTTTATAACACTTGGTCATATGCAATCTTTTCACCAGGGTGATTTTTTTTTATAAGTGACTGAGTTCACTATTTTTTTATGCCTATTTTCGTGAAAAATTTGTCATTATTCAGTCATGTCATTGGAAAACGGGATAATTTCACCGAGCTTTTTTCTCTTGGTCTTTAAGTTGGATACACTTAAAGAAAACAACTTGAAAAATGTGGAAGAGCTGAACAAGTCGAAAGAACTTCTGACTGTCGAGAATCAGAAAATGGAAGAATTCAGGAAAGAAATGTAAGTTTATCTCCTGTGAGAGCTGTTGTGGAACTTATTAAATCACAAACGTGAAAACAATGCTAATTATTTAAAAACAAAACAAAACTTGAACATGGAGTAAAAATAGTCTCCCTCCTGCCCCCTCGGTGCTACTGTACCTGAGAAGTAGTCCTTATAACACACTGTCGTAAGTCAGAAGTACAGGTGTGGTAAAGACCAAGATGAAATGTGTGCTGGCTGGTGGCCCTGACCCCAACCCAGCTCCCTACTGCCAGCATCCCACTTCTGAGCTATCTCGGCCGTACTAGGAAACGGAGGGGCAGGGCCAGAGTGGGCCTCACCAAGAGAGCTTGGGCGTCAAATATGATCCCTCCTCCCAGCTATACGACTGCTCGTCTCTGGTCACGGTCATTCCACTGGTCGGTGTTGAAGTATTCAAGGTCCTTGCTCTGTCGTTCTGTCCTGCCACCTCCCCCACAGAGTGGGGTGGTTTCACCTCTCGTAAGAGACAGGTTGTTTTTGTGCCCCCTTCCTTGAATGGTCCCCGCAAGCACTGAAAGCTTAGCGTCATGCCTGTGGAAGCAGAGGACCAGGGGCAGAAGACGGTGCTGCTGCCCCTCTAACCTCGGCCTGTCTTCCTCCCTGGAGCCGTGCACCCCTGATCCCCGATGGCTGTGGTCCAGGTAAGGGCCAGGTCACAAGGCAGACAGAGCCTACGCTGCTTTTTTTTTTTTTAATCCTCAACCAAGAATAAGTTTTCATTGATCTTTTTGGAGAGAGAGGAAGGGAGAGAGAAAGGAAAAACAAAACAAAACATCGATTGGTTGCCTCCCCAAAGTGCCCCAGCTGGGGCTGGGCCCTACAATGCAAGAATCAAACCCAGAACCTTTTGGGGATGCTCTAACCAGCTGAGCCACTGGGCCAGGGCTAGGCTGCTTTGATTAACTTCTGCCTGGCCCACCTCTATGAGGTGCATGTACCCACTGCGCTCAAAAGAAAAGAAGGTGTTTCTATTTTCAAATCAGGCCCATGCCGCCAGTTTTTTTTTAATGTATACATTTATTGATTTCAGAGAGGAAGGGAGAGGGAGAAAGATATAGAAACATCAGTGATGAGAGAATCATTGATCGGCTGCCGCCTGCACAGCCACAATGGGATTGGGTCCGCATCCCAGACATGTGCCCTGACTGGGAATTGAACCGTGACCTCCTGGTTCATAGGTTGACGCTCAACCACTGATCCAGGCTGGCCGGGCCACCAGTTTTAAGTCCAGTTTTCTCAATTCTGCAGCTTACTGCTGCCTTTATGATTTGGGGCAAATCTTTTCAGTTCCCTGAACCTCCGTTTTCTCATCTTTAAAATACAAATAATATTTGTATGAGCTTCCTTAAGGGTTTGAGGATTCAATGAGAAAATGTATAAATAAGCATTTTTGTTGATTTTAAAACATTGAACAAAGACTTAGGACATTTTGATATTTCTTAGACCTCTTGTTTTAATTTTCCTTCCTGTGGGCTCCTAATAGACACCAAGGATTGAAAAACCTTTAAAAGATGGAAATCTTTCCTAGAGAAAGAATAGGATCACAAATGTCTCTCACAGGCCACACAAACGCTGAGACCAAACATCCCCTGAGGAGGACAGTGCTCACCTGGGAGTGAAAGGTTTGGCTTCTGATGATTTCATCATGAGTAAAACCTTTTATTTGGTCAGGAATTGATTAGACAGAAGAGGGGCTCCAGCTGTCTTATGTGCGTGTATGTTTTGATCCATGGCTAACATCAAGCCTCCCAGGTTTTTATGTTTGTTTGTTTTTTAATATATTTTTGTCGATTTCAGAGAGTAAGGGAGAGAGAGATAGAAAAATCAATGATGAGAGAGAATCATTGATTGGCTGCCTCCTGCATGCCCCCTGCTGGGGATCGAGCCCACAACCCGGGCATGTGCCCTTGACCAGAATCGAACCCTGGACACTCCAGTTCGCAGGCCAATGTTCTATTCACTGAGCCAAATTGGCTAGGGCAAGCCTCCTAGGTTTTGAATGACTAATTACCTGAGGCTAAAATTCCCTCTGTCTCAGTTTTCCTTCACTTGCTAAATAAATATCTCTGTAAAACAACAAATTTAATGTGCTAATTAAATTTGAGAATTGCTTTGTAGATTTATTCCCCTAAATCTTCACGAGGCCAGCCCAGTGTGCATATTGTAGGTGGATGGAGAACTAAAAATCTAGAAAACTGAGATGCCAAGCACTGCCACCCATTAGACAATTGAAGTTAAAAATAGATGTGTTCATGCGTCAGCGGATGGATTTATACCCAGATGACTGGACTCAGAATTCAGCCATGTATGGCAGCTTGCTAAATGGAGTGTAGCCAGCACAGACACAAGATTCATAATTGTATCAAAACCTGTGGTGGCATAAAACTACAATGTAGTGATCTAATAAAATATTTGGAATGTCCATGTATGGAGGTTAACAACTTGGGAGGTATATTTTGGATTAATTTTAACCTTGGAAAGATGCTTAGTAAATAGAGTTAGCCAGCTCAAGTTTTTTTGTGTTGTTGTTTTTTAAATAGATTTTTACTGATTTCAGAGAGGAAGGGAAAGGAAAAGAGAGACAGAAACATTAATGATGAGAGAGATTCATTTATTGGCTGCCTCCTGCATGCCCCCTACTGGGGCTTGAGCCTGCAATTGGCCATGTGCCCTGACCAGGCATCGAACCCTGACCATCTGGTTCATAGGTTGATGCTCAACCATTGAGTCACACCAGCCAGGCCCTGCTCATCCTATATAAGAAAGTGGTAATATGCAAATTAACCCTCACAAGATCACAAGATGGCTGCCTACAACCAGGCTGGCAGGGGGGTTAGTGAGGGACCAAAAACGACTGAACAAGCAGGCTGCTTGGGGTGACCTAGTGTTTTATATGCTGATACTCACAAGATAGGTTAGCAGGCTATTTTTTAAAATTTATTTCCTTTAATTATAGATTAGCATTACGGAAAGAATATAGTCCAAATAAAAACACCTGTTATATAACTAGAAAACTACATTTCCTTTGGGATTACACCTCTAGTTGGCCAAAAAAATATACTGAGATTCAGGCCAGCACTTGATTCTGACAGATGTCGATAAATGAGACCATTAGGTTTTTATTTCTGCCAGCAAAAAAAAAAACAACAACCAACAACAACAACAAAAAGATCACAGACTTAATGCAGTTAGGACAGAGTACCTTGGCGGCAAGGTAAATCCCTTTGTCAACATAAGTAGGTTTTAGTATGACTTCCTAATGGATATAGTCCTGAAGACAAGAGGAGCACTGACCATTTCTCTTGTCATTTATTTGTATGGCGTGTTTAGAAGTAAGGTAAATGTGGGTGGTGAAAGGCTGGGTGTAGAATTTATTAGGTTTTTTAAAAAATGTGATAACCGTGGGTGGCAATCCTCCTCCAGAGAGGTTAGAGCCATATAGCCCCTCCTGTGTGGAGATAACACTGTCTCCTGTTATTATAGATCCTATCGGGCACGTGACCCAGATATATTTTCCTCAGTGCTGTGAAGCTGGTCGGCTCCCACAGTTTCCGTGCCTGTCTTGTTTCTATGGTAACCCTGCACCCACTGTCCTTGCAGAGAAACCCTGAAGCAGGCAGCTGCTCAGAAGTCCCAGCAGCTTTCAGCACTGAAAGCGGAGAACGTGAAACTTGCCGAGGAGCTGGGGCGAAGCAGGGACGAAGTCACGAGTCATCAGAAGGTCAGTGGGCCTCGGGTGGGCGTCCCTGTCTCGGACACGCCGATGCCTGCTGCTGCCGGCAGGGCGCTGCTTGGAGGCACCTCCAGATGCGCTCCATGTGGCTGGGTTCTTCCTACTGGGATGTCACGCCGCCTGTGTTACGTGTCTCCTTGTTTCCAAGTGTCCTATGCTATAGGGCTTAGGGTAGGAGTCACTGACAGGTCCTTACACACAACACACCAACACTGGGAACTTGCAAGCAACTAGAAATTAAGATCATTATTAGCTGATCTTATAGCAATGCATTTACATGGACAGGACAGTATCTTCTTCCTACTACACTTTTAAAATGATTTTCTCTAAGATTTTGTTTTTTCTTTCATCAAAATTGGCTTTAGAGAACAGATTCCAAGAATACGGTTTTGGTGTGCGGCTTGGCAGCTGTTTCTAAACAACTCTGCTTCGCTTTAAATTTTAAGACATTGAACAGACATTCGTACTGGAACCACGTGTATGTGTGCACTCTTGTGCCTTGGTGTGCAGGAGGTGCGTTACACCCAGAACGAACACTGACCACAGCCGTTTACTCCTGTATTTAAATCCCACAGGTTTCTGGCAAGTTTATTAGACACTGAAACCAACCTGACTTTAAAGAATGCCATATTCTGCTCTTTATTCTTTAGCAGCCAGATCCAAGTGCTCGGTTGTTAGTCACACCTCGTGTCAGAGCCGAAGCTCGAAGAGGCATCGTGGAGGGAACATCACTGTGTAGTAACTCTGGCTCTGCTAGTCAAGGGGAAAAATTTCCCAGCATGCTTTGCAAACATTCATTCTCACGGGGTGTAGTAGTTTGGGGTAAGTGTGCAGCGTATCTGAGGACATGGTGCAGTCTATGGCAGTGTTGAGCTCAGGCTTTTAAAGTCTTGGGAGAGCTCTAGCTGGTTTGGCTCAGTGGATAGAGCGTCAGCCTGCGGACTGAAGGGTCCCGGGTTCAATTCCAGTCAAGGGCATATGCCCAGGTTGTGGGCTCGATCCCCAGTAGGGGGCATGCAGGAGGCAGCCAATCAATGATTCTCTCTCATCATTGATGTTTCTCTCTCTCTCTCTCTCTCTCCCTTTCTGAAATCAATAAAAAAAATATTTAAAAAAAAAGCCTTTGGAGAGTTGAACTCAGACTTTTAAAGTCTCCATTATAGCTTTCCACAAAAGGGATGCCTCATCTCTCCAGCTTCTGGGAGGACCACGGTGCTGTTGGCAATGGTCTCTCTCTGTTGAGTCCTCCCATGTGACAGACACAAATAAGTGACAGCTGTCATCTCACTTATCTGCACAGTGATGCTAGGAGTGGCACTGTCATGAACCCATTCAGAAGCGGGGAAACAGGAACACAGAGAAGATGGTAACTTGCTCAGCCTCCTTCAGCTAATGGTGTCAGGAGCCATTTGTCATCTTCTGATTTGGGCCAGGCCAGAATCGGAGCGGGCTGCCTTACAGAGGGTGGTGTGCTCGCCTTTGATCGGCTCACGAGAAACTGGCGTTCATGAGAAGTAGGAACCCAGGAGAGGTTTTCTTCCCTGGTGCAGCCCCGGCTTCTGAAGCACTGGGTAGCTCTGAGGCCAGTGTGTCTGTGCAGATTGGCCAGGGAAGGCCCTCAGCTCAGTGCCGCGTCTGTTCCCATCTCCATCATCTTCTGTTGAACTTGTCTGGGGTGGGCGGGGGAGCGGGTTCCGTAAGTGGGAGGAACACCCAGAGGTCATCCTCTCGTCTCATGTCCTGACCTTCGCGGGCCGTTGATTACATTTCTGTCTCTGTCACCCAGATCCAGAGGGCACTCTGTAGGGGCCGTCGCAGCGCCTGGGGAGGCTTTCAGGGCTCCTCTCCCCCAGCTCTTCCTCTTCTGCATGTTGGGGTCTGAACTACCTTCTTCGAAAAGGTTTTGTGACTAAACATTTGAAAGTCAGTGACGTTGAAGGGTGTTAGGAAACAGCACCTGCAAAGGAGCAGCTAAGAAAATGACTTCCCTGTAGGGACTGAGGCTGCTGTGCCCTTTGCCGTTTTCTAGGTTTTGCTCAGGAGAGACCAGGGGTGTGAGTAAAGCATCATAGGCTTCGATGCTCGAGGTTGTTAACCACATTGATCACCAAGAAGGAGCACAGATACTCTTCCCTTGGTGTAGATCTGCAGTTTTACACAGAGACGTGTGTGTGTGTGTGTGTGTACATCAGAAGAGTGGCGAGAAGCACCCATTTAAAATACCTTCGAAGAAACTAGTCTAAAGAAGGCTTATTCCTGTGATTGTATGACCTCTGGGAACCTGGAGCACTTTCACTTACGTGAAATTACAAATTTTTACTCTCTTACGTTTCCAAACTATTGATCAACTGTGTTCAGAAATATACTACAGAGCCAGTGTTGGGCAGAAACCCTATTTTTTTTTTTAAAAAAAAAAGACTTTTCAATGTAGTACTAATAAAAATATTCAGTGTCTCGTTCTAAAAATTAATACAGCGAAGATTGGATTGACACGGGGTAGGATCTGAATTATCCTGGCTCCCTTACTTAGCAGCCCCAAAACTCACTGCACATCACGTGAGCGGACTGCTGTGCACATTTCACAGAATCGTCACAGCACACCTCTGAGACAGTGGGTTACTTTGTAGTCGAGGAAGCGGAGGCTCAAAAGTGAGGTCACTTGCAAAGGACATAAATTCACTGCTGTACCATTTTATAGTGTACAGTTCAGTGGCATGTAGTCCATGCACAGTGCTGGACCAGTGCTGTGCTGGTCCAGAACAGCTTCATCACCTCAAACGGAGACCCTGCCCCGTGTAAGCAGTCACTCCCCATTCCTCTTCCAGCCCCTGGCAACCCTAATCTCTTCTCCCTCCCCACTTGGTGAATTTTGTCTCTATGGATTTGATGATGATTTTTAATCCTCACCCAAGGATATTTTTTCCATTGATTTCTAGATCAAGTGGAAGGAGCAGAGGAGGGGAGAGAGAGAGAGAGAGAGAAACATCAATGTGAGAGAGAGGCATCGATTGGTTGCCTCTCACTCAAGCCCTGACCGGGCCTGGGGAACCCGCAACCAAGGCATGTGCCCTTGACCAGGAATTGAACCTGGGGCCCTTCGGGCTGAGGGCCGACACCCTAACCACTGAGCCAAATCGGCCGGGGCTGCTTATTCTTGTTATTTCCCATAAATGGCATCATACAGCATGTGTCTGTCGGTGTCTGGCTTCTCAGCATCGTGCTCTCGAGGTTCATGCAGATGTGGCGGGTGTCAGGGCTTCGTTCCTTTTCGTGGCCGAATAGTATTTTATCGGGTGGACGGACCACATTTTGTCTGACCCTTTGCTTCAGGTGTTTTATGTCTCCTTTCTCCATTCAGCTTGTCACCTGTCCCTCCTGATGTCTGCGTGCTGCCTGTAGTTGCTACCACTAGTTTTCCATTCAGATCCCCCGTGGGCTGAGAAATCTCGTTTCCTTAAAAGCAGTTCTAAATCTTGTTGTGCGGTTTCACACTTACAACCCCAATTCTTCCTTCTTTTCAAACTTTAAAAAAGCGTGTTCTGTTTTCTGCCTCTGTCTTCTACCTCCCCTCTTCCTCCCAACCCCCTGCGTGCTGCTCTTTGCACCGGGGTGACTGGTGCCTGAATCATTGCTTACCAAGTGGTGCCACCGATCTTGCCTTCCTTCCCTCCCTGAGCACCTGGCACCGCTACCTGCATTCTCAGCGCTCCCCTCGTAACTTCTTCCGCTCCTTCCGCTCTTTTTTCTCTGCATCTCCTGCTGTACCTGGTCATCTCCATTCACGGCTCTGCCTGACATCCCTTCTCCCTCCCCATGTGGTGAACCTCTCATTGTCAGAAGCCCACCCTAAAGTTCGTCGCCTCTCAGCTCAGAGCTCTCGGCTCCTTCTTTGTGTTCCTGTCACAGTTGCCACTGTTGTCTTACGTGGAGCACTCAGAGCTCCACGTTGTGGTCGTTTCTACTCTTCTCTCCCCACACGGGCCGCGGGACAGCAGGAGTTGTGGAACCAGGCAGGAGTGGGATGAAATGAGTGTGTTGTGTTTAGCCAGGGCTTCATGTCCTGTCCTGTCTTTCAGGGGGTGTAGAGACATTCAGATGTCCTTGGACTTCCTCACATGTCCAGTCCAAAGCTTTGTTGCTGATAATTGTGCTGCCAAAAGCCTGATCTTTTAAAAATAAATTTCTTTTTATTGATATCAGGAGGAAGGGAGGGGGGAGAGAGAGATAGAAACATCAATGAGAGAGAATCATTGATCAGCTGCTTTCTGCACACCCCTACTGGGGATAGTGTGTGCAACCGGGCATGTACCATGACCGGGAATTGAACTGTGAACTCCTGGTTCATAGGTCAACACTCAAGCACTGAGCCACACTGGCCAGGCAAAAGCCCAATCTTTAACGGAGTGGGGCACTTGCTATGTGTGGACGGTGGAAGCACAGGGTGTGGATTCAGGGGGGATTACGTGGTCTCAGGAGGAATGGAGAGCATGCAGAGCATTCTTTCTTTTCATGGGGAATACTAAAAATAACCCTCTTACTGCTAGTTCTGTTCCAATAGTCATCTTAGGCAGTCACTTCTGAAATGTCTGATTTATCATTCCCAACCCTCATACATCTTTTCCTTTGTAAGGATTGCAGATGCACTTGGCTGTCACTATGGGAACTGTGCTGATTTCCCCTGGTTATTTGCAGAATGAGGTTACAGTTTGCCAACTGGATAGGATTAGAGACTCAATACCAGTATTTCATCCACAGTTCTTGGTTATAGCATCTGGTGCATATAAAAAACATTACACGGGGTTATCATCTAAACTGAGTCACAAATGGGCTCTGGCCAGGCAGCTCAGCTGGTGAGAATGTCATCCCAATATGCCGAGGTTGCAGGTTCAAACCCCAGTCAGGGCACATAAAAGAATCAACCAGCCGAAACCGGTTTGGCTCAGTGGATAGAGCGTCGGCTTGTGGACTGAAAGGTCCCAGGTTCAATTCCGGTCAAGGGCATGTACCTGGGTTGCGGGCACATCCCCAGTAGGGAGTGTGCAGGAGGCAGCTGATCGATGTTTCTCTCTCATTGATGTTTCTAACTCTCTATCTCCCTTCCTCTCTGTAAAAAATCAATAAAATATATTTTAAAAAAAAGAATCAACCAATGAATGCATCAGTAAGATCGATGTTTCTGTCTCTCTTTTCCTCTCTCTCTCTCTCTCTCTTTCAAATTAATAAATAAGAATTTAAAAATAAATAAGTTGGTACATTAGTGATTGCCTGCCTCTTAAACAAACCTGAATTACCAAACATGAATGCTTGGGAAGGAAATGCTATTTTTAGTTTGCCATGTTTTATTTTGGAGAAATGGTGATCATTAACCATCACAGTTTTCATGTGGGCTCAGGGACTTCTGGGCAAGTGGGGCTGAGTGAAGCTGGACCACAGAATCTCTGTCTCTCTTTTTCTTTAAATATAACTTTTAAATTAATTTTTATTGATTTCAGAGAGGAAGGGAGAAGGAGAGAGAGCTAGAAACATCAGTGATGAGAGAGAATCATTGGCTGGCTGCCTCTTGCACACCCCCTACTGGGGATCGAGCCTGAAACCTGGGCATGTGCCCTGACCAGGAATGGAACCCTGACAACCTGGTTCATAGGTTGACGCTCAACCACTGAGCCATACTGGCTGGGATCTTCACCCTTCTTTACACCAGAGGGTTCCCTCTGTCTTTCTTTCTGTTTTATGACTTGATTCTTTAGAAACCTTTGTATTTTACAGGCGAGAAACGAAGGCTTGAGATAGAGCAAGCATAAAACAGGCCCACAGAGAGCAGATGAGCTGTTCCCGCTCTCCCCGAGTTGGTGACATTCAGCCTCTGTTGTTTCAGGAAAGGAACCAGAATGTTCATGACATTTTCACTCATCCGTTAACATTTATTGAATGTCTGAGGCAGTGATGGCGAACCTTTTGAGCTCGGCGTGTCAGCATTTTGAAAAACCCTAACTTAACTCTGGTGCCGTGTCACATATAGAAATTTTTTGATATTTGCAACCATAGTAAAGCAAAGACTTATATTTTTGATATTTATTTTATATATTTAAATGCCATTTAACAAAGAAAAATCAACCAAAAAAATGGAGTTCGCGTGTCACCTCTGACATGTGTGTCATAGGTTCGCCATCACTGGTCTAAGGTTTATGCCCCTTTTCTGTTCAGATGATGTTTAATACTTTGTTTTGTTTTGTATATCCTCACTCGAGGATATTTTTTTCCATCAATTCTCAATTGGCTGCCTGTCGCATGTACTCCAACCCGGGCAGGGATCCTGCAACCCAGGTATGTGCCCTTGACCAGGAATTGAACTCTCGAACCCTTGGTCTGTGGGCGGCCGACACTCTAACCACTGAGCAAAACCAGCTGTTGATTAATAGTTTTAATTCTCGAGTCCGTGAGGAAAGGGAATCAGTCAGGTCATACATGGTTTACAAACAAATCGCTGTACATCCTGTGATATGGTGCCAGCTGCTCTCACTGCCTGGGGCCTGGGAATGGAACCCGGGGCATGAGAACTAGGCCTCCCTGCCGGCTCGTTAGGAACTGAACTTCCATGTATGTGCTTTTTTCCAGGTGGAAGAGGAGAGATCTGTGCTCAACAATCAGTTGTTAGAAATGAAAAAGAGGTAGGTCTTCTTTTTCTGTTTATCATTGGCATGTGTGTGAGTGTGCGAGTTTAATAAGGAAAACGTTAGAAGGTGATGTGTGCGGTGACGTATAGAAAGTGTGCGACCTTCTCATTCAGAAAATTGCATCCTGATAGCTCAGTACTCACCATTGACAAATGATGAAAACTCATTTGCCAAAGTCTCAGCCTTCATTCCTAAAACAAAGAACAGCTGCAGTTGAAGTCACGGTCAGTTGCATTTGTTTGGAAGTTTTCTAAAAGCAGATTGTCTCGTATGATACTGCTGCTCCCTCCTAGTTTCAGTAACTAGAAAATGCTATCACTTTACAGGGAGTAATTGATCGGCCCGTAAACACTGATTTCCATGATGTAAAAATTTTAATTTTTCAATAATAATGGGTAACATAATTATAAATGTTTCCATTTATTTTCAGAAAAAAAGCTTTGTCATTTTATTCATGATAATCACACAGTATTCAAGTGAAAGCCTTCCAGTCCTTTTGAGTAAGGATACACAGGCCCACAGAAATAGTCATTTAGAAGCTTAGTGCTTTTATGCATCCTGACAGCCTGTCTGCTCTTTTAAAATGTGCAGTTTGTATCTAGAGAAATTTAAAAAAAGTGAAATAAAGTAGAAAAACAAGAGTTCTCCATGCTCTTGCAAAGTATTCTCTTACTTGTCAGGGCCGAGGGGCTCCCCTGCCCAGGCAGCTGCCCATGGGTGCTATTTACACTGCAGCGCCCCTCCTGCCCGCTCGGCAAACAGCTGAGGGATTGAGGGCTGCACTTCGCCCACAAGCTATCTGAGTTCCATAAGCTGCGTCCTAAAGGATGTTGGGCCTTGGTCCGGGGGTGCCATTCGTCCTTTCCCTCTCTAATTACATTCATTCTTGGTTAAAGTCTCACACCAGAATGCACGTGTTTCATCACTGCCACGCCCCTGGCCCCGCCCAGTGTCCTCCAGGTGACCATGCGTGAGCGTGGTGACCAGGCTGACCTGCCTTAGCCCAGCTTCTGCCTGCAGCCACAGCCCCGCCCATGTGGGCCTCAGGTGTTTATTTTTACATCCATAAGGCTTTGTTTCTTTAAAAAGAACTTCATGGGGGAGATCTGTAATACTCTCAGCCGTAAAGATAAATTTTAAAAAAGCAGCAGCAGCAGCAACTCATGTCCGCAGTTACCCAGGTCAGGTGAAAGTTCACAGGGCTCTTCCTGTGACATCCTGGCCAGCCGACAAATGAAAACGGGCCGATGTGAGCCCTGGCATGTCCCCTTGCATGGACGTAGCAGTTGGTAATTCTCAGGCCTGTAATCTCAAAACAGCCCACTGAAGTATATGGTGAGGCGTGCGTTTAAAAACGATGAAACCTAAACAGCAAAGAGAAACTGGAAAAAAAAAAAAAGATGAAGTGCCAGCCTGAAGAGTCAGGCACCTTGGCCAGGAACTCAGACGCAGGAGCAAGACACAGACCCTCGGGTTCTTATGCTGGTTCTTGTCTCACTGTACACTCACGATTACTCACTTTAAAAAGAAAGATGCTGTGCTTTGTCCGTCCTCACCACGTCTTTCAAAATGTGATTGGGGCCCTGGCTGGTTTGGCTCAGTGGATGGAGTGTCGGCCTGTGGACTGAAGGGTCCCGGGTTCAATTCTGGCCAAGGGCACATGCCAGGGTTGCGGGCTTGGTCCCCAGTAGGGGGCGTGCAAGAGGCAGCCAACGGTGGTTCTCTCTCATCATTGACATTTTGCGCTCTCTCTCCCTCTCCTTTCCTCTCTGAAATCAATAAAAATATATTATTTTTTTAAATATATTTTTTATTGATTTCAGTGAGGAAGAGAAAGGGGGAGAGAGAAAACATCAATGATGAGAAAGAATCATTGATTGGCTGCTTCCTGCATACCCCCTCCTGGGGATCTAGCTCATAACCCAGGCATGTGCCCTGACCAGAAATTGAACTGTGACCTCTGGTTCATAGGTAGAGGCTCAACCACTGAGCCATACTGGCCGGGATACACCTTTTTTTCCTCTCTCTCTCTCTCTCTCTCTCTCTCTCTTTTTGTTAAATTGTTTATTAACCCTCATGGAAAGTTATGTCTGTTTCAGAAATCTGAAAGCAAGTATATATTTGAGCTAATAATTTGAACCCCTAAACACCTCCTAAAGTCAGTTTGATAAAGGATTTGTATATAGGTCTATGTGTATCATAGTTAAGTAAATTTAGCATAGAGTACTAAAAAGAATTTGATCTGCTCTTACTTTAAAAGTCTGAAAAGTACTTAAATCAAAGTTATTTGAGTTGTAGCTGTTGAAACAAAAGTAGAGATCTTAATCGACAGTTTAATTTGGAAGTGACCATTGAACAGACATGAGCAAGCATAGACTTGCCTTCCTTACACTGAAGTCATTGTATTGAAGTGCAGTACTTACTCCTGACTGTAGGATGAAGCTGCTTTTCGTGAAGAAATTAGTAACAAAAAGGGGACATCTGTAATACTTTCAGTAATAAAGATAAATTTTTAAAAAAGAAAGTAGTAACATCCTTCTGTATTGCCACAGTTTTTTGGTATCTAAACATTGAATTGCAAGCAATATGTAGTCAAGATTTTCCTCTTAAGAATGTAATCATTGCCCAGCCAGCGTGGCTCAGTGGTTGAGCGTCAACCTATAAACCAGGAGGTCATGGTTCAATTCTCAGTCAGGGAACATGCTCAGGTTGTGGGCTTCATCCCCAGTGCGGGGGAGGGGGCGGTGTGTAGGAGGCAGCTGATCAATGATTCTCATCATTGATGTTTCTCCCTCTACCCTTCCTCCCTGAAATAAAAAATATATATAAATATCTTTTTAAAATGTAACTATTTCTTTGGAAAACTGGTTTCCACATTAGGCAGACCTCCTTCAAAACAGGTTCCAAGATGTCTGAGAGAGATGGCAGAGCCGAACTTGACTTGCTGTAACTGACCGAGTGGAGAGGTGGGTCTTCTGACCCCTGAGGTCTGCAAGCAGATGGGAGAACTTGTTTGGCTTCCCTCCCTCCCTCCAGGCTTTTGGATGTCAAAGAAGGGACTTGAGAGCCAAAATCTTAGACGTGGACTTGTTGGAGGCAGAATTAATTCTGTTAGTGTAAATGATAGATTGCCGTCAGGGCTGGAAACCGGTAGACAGTTCCCTCGACAAATTTTGCAGAGTCCTGTGCTGCTCACTGTGGGTGGCTGACTGTCTGACTGTCTCTGAGCTGTCGCTGCTTACAATGCTCACTTCACTCCTCTCTTTTCCCTTCCTACTCTTGCTTCCTTTGCTATATCTGTGTGTCTTTCATGGTAAGACTAAAGAAAGTCTATCCACATTATACTAAATAAATTTCATATATTTTTAGTAAACCAAATGGTCGTATATATATTTTTGGCTGCCTTTGTCCCTCTGTGTCTCGCTTTTGTTTTGTAAAATATTCTCAGCAGTATACGCACACACACTCACACACATATTATCTTTTTTTTTTTAAAGCAAAGAATTGCAGTGCAAACTTTCCCTGACTGATTTGCATTTCTCTTCATGTTTCTAATATTTGGTTCTTATTATCTTGCATTTTTAAAGCTTGCCCAGTTACATGTTAAGGTATTTGCTTTACTGCTAGAATTTATTTCTTGTGCAAGTAGTAAGGAAAGAAGCTGGCTAGTATGTTCCCTTGGAGGAAAGAGTTCGGGCCCCTCCGGCCCTTCCTTCGCATTCTGCTTATCTTCCCTATTTGACATGTGAGGAACACCAAGTCATCCCAGTCAGCATGGCTCCAGGGAACACAGGCCCGCCTGCCGGTGTGATTTGTGACGCAGAGGTCAGTGATGCTGGCTAAATCGTTTAACTCGGCCTCTCTCGGTCTGCACAGTGGGATTGGGGCTTAGAAATAGTGAAGGAAGCCAGCAGTGAGGATCTGCCCCAGAGATGAGCAGCTAAGAGCTGTTTGTCCTGCCATTTGTCACAAGCTTGGTCCCTCCCTCAGCCATGCATCTTCTGATAACTGTACAAGGAGCGAGCCTTCTGCTTGCCCTCTGCTAAAGCGGCCTTGCTCAGAGGCTGTGTATATGTGAGGATGAGCAGATCAAGATACCGTGCCTTCCTCCTCCCGCCGGCTGGTGGGCCCCCAAACCAAGAATCAGTGACGTCTTTGCTAACTAGAATTCCTATGATGGAAGAATCCAAGTCTGCTCAGGAATCCCCAAATCCTCTTTTTTTTTCAGTAAAAACATTTCCAATGATGTTCAGATTTGAGTTGGTTTTCTAACAAGCGACGCTCTGGAAATAGGTGTTACTATAGAGTAAACCACCAAGTCAGTTTGCTAGAGGCTTAAGGAGTCTGAGCTTTATTGAATCTTTGGATCGCGTCAGATACTTACTTTCCAGGGGGAAGGAGGGTTCGTACGTTCCTTCCGTTAAAATCATTGTTTTGTTTTAATCCGAGCAAGATCCTATTTCCTAGCAAGGTGCCACTCAGTAATTCAGCGTCACTGCTGCTCACCCCATTTCAGTGTACAGCTAGTGCTCGGATATTGAATTCCAGGACTGTTTGTAAGTCTCAAATTCTTTTCTTACTACTTATCATTCCGGGGTATGAGTGTCAGCCACACAATGAGATACATACACTTAATATTTTATCTTTGTGTAGAATCTACCATAAATCATGAGAATTCTGTAATTCGTGTGCCGGATATCTTGGGTCTCACTAACCAGACATGTACATTCTTCCATTTCTAACCTGGGCCTCAGTTTTCAGTCCTTCCCGTTGGCTCTGAAACAGACTGAACCACGACACGCTCCACACTCACCCAGTTACTTCCCAGCGGAACCGGGAGTAACTTGGCTTGTTGCCTAAGTTATGAGTTCTCACTGAGGATTAGCTCCATGAGTGACGTGTCCACTGGCCTGAGGGCTAGCTAGGAAAAATTCTCTCCAGTTTTGTCTTTTTCCCAACTATTAATGTGGTTCCAGGTCTTTTTCCTCATTTCACACTGCATATAATTAAAAAAAAAATTTTTTTTTTAATTTTTAAAACTAGAGTTTCACAGAAGAGTTGCCAGGGTCGTTCCGAGTACTCCCACGTGCCTCCCCACCCCCCACCCCCGGTCCCTTCACGTGGACATGGTCCATCCCCTGGTACAGTGACCAAAACCTAGGAAGTGACATGCACACACTTTCAGCTAGTCCCCTGACCTTACTCAGATCCCCCAGCTTTTCCACGAACACCCTTTTTCTCCTCCAGGGTCCAACCTACACATCACACCGCATTCAGTTGTCACCAAGGAGTTAGTTTCTCCCAGTCTGTGACCGTGCTCAGTCTGACCTCCTCTCTGGTGACTCTGACCGTGGCACTCTCGAATGCATGTAATTTCTCAACAAAAATCTAAATGTGCACACACACAAACACATAGTAGCCGGCCCTTCCAGGTTGTGTCTATGTGTCTTGCCCCCTCCCTCCTGGTCTTCCCTTCATCGTTCCCTTTCTTTGCCCACACCCTCCACGACAGGTGTTTCCCTTACTTCCCAGGCCTGGTCCCCCCTCCGCTGATGACCACAGCCGAGTCAGGCTGAGGACAGGAACCCAGTGCTGGCCCTTCCTCCCGATGTCGCCAACGCGTGCATTCTATCCCCAGAGCTCCACTGTAACATGTCTGCTCTGGCCTTTATGTAATTACCTGTCATTTCTACGAGCAATTTAATGTCCTCTTCAGGTTCCATGGAGGAGGAGGAAGACTCCTGCAGCCCGAATAGTAGTGGTACTATTTGCTACTGTTTGGCCCATTAGATCTCAAAAACTCATTCCTGGAACTTGCTAAAAGTTACTGAAATTAGTGAGAACCAACCGATACTTCCAGCATAAAACTGCTCTGCATGACATTGTATAATCGCTTTGCATGTGTGTATTTTAATTGTTGGTATTGCTTGGTAGTAGTTTATTCAAGAAATAATAGAATTCAGCTGGGGTTCGATATTTAGCAGAATTCTTTGGGGGTGCAACAGTCTTATTTTTTTGTTTTTGTTTTTATAATCGTAAGTCTTCCAAAGTTACTGTTTTCTTTAAACTCAAATGGATACAATGATAGGCAGATTCAAGCATGTCTGTGCATAGCGAACTTTTCCTCCCCTCACAGTAAGTAAAATTTGGAAGCGTAATAGCCTTTTCCCTCTACAAGCCCCCTGGGATGCACTTTTTCTTTACATGAACTCGGGTAAATTGTGTGTTTGTTCTAGGACAGTCATACACCGATCACTCTCTCGGCTGATTTCTGGAATTTTTAACTCTTTGGTCTTTTAGAGAATCCCAGTTGATAAAAGACGCAGATGAGGAAAAAGCCTCCTTGCAGAAGTCCATCAGCATTACTAGTGCCTTACTCACGGAGAAGGATGCCGAGCTGGAGAAGCTGAGGAACGAGGTAGAGTACCTTCCCGGGCGAACGTTCACGCCGCCCCGTTTGGCTCCCACACCTAAGCCGCGCCGCTGTGTTGCAGGTCACGGTGCTCAGGGGAGAAAACGCCTCTGCCAAGTCCCTGCATTCAGTTGTCCAGTCTCTCGAGTCCGACAAGGTGAAGCTCGAGCTCAAGGTAAAGAACTTGGAGCTTCAACTCAAGGAGAACAAGAGGCAGCTCAGCAGCTCCTCAGGTAAAATGATGGCCGTGGTGCCTCTCCCCCACCCCACCGTTCCCTGCCAAGGAGCCGTTTCTGGGCAAGATGCGCTGCCCACGCGGCCCTTTCCTCCTCGGCTCTCCCACCCTTTAGTCCGACGAGGGCTCGGCATCACCCAGGCCCCATGCGAAGGGGCGTGCCTGCTGTCCCCACTGCTGGGCCTTCCCCCCTGGTCTTGAGTGTGGGTAGACGCATAAGCTGGTAGATGCTGGCTGCCATCCAGTACAGCCGTGGGTTCTGAAGGTACACAGTGAGGGAGAGCGGAGATGGCCCCTCGCTCCTCTACATTCAGGTGGATGTGATGGCCATTCTTGCCCAGCAGTGAGCCAGCCCAAGAGAGAACACGGGCGGAGTGGGGCCAGCGCCGGCGCAGGTCCCTCAGGGTCCGGCTGTGGGACAGGAACTCAGGAGTGTGTACTGAGAGGCGCACCTGGGAATTCCACAGAGAATGATCTTCAATGCAATCACAAGGAAAAAAGATGGTGGTTTTTAAAACATCCCCCTTCATTTTTTTTTTTATATATAAGGTAATACTGATACTCAGGCGGAAGAGGACGAAAGAGCCCAGGAGAGTCAGGTACTGCTCCTTCCTTCCTTTAGTGTGCTTACCTGCTATTTTAAACAAGCGCTTAATCTTTTGAACAGGTAGTGCATTCATATGATCTAAACATTAAGCAATATTAAAAATATGTTCAGCAACACATCTCCCTCCAAACCTTTCTCTCTAGTCAGTTCCCAGCTCTCCAGTTAGGTAACCACCCAATTGGTGTCTTTTTAAAAAAGTGTTTTCAGGGATTTAAAAAAATGTAAATGTAAGCCAAGACTAATACAGTCTTTTTCCTTTCCCTTTTAACGTACATGGTGGCATATTACATAAACTGGCCTGTACTTTCTTTCTTCTTTTTCTTTCTTTTTTCTGTTTTTTTTTTTTTTTTTTTTGCAGAACCTTGCCCCAAAAAGCTGAGCCTAGCCCCTAAGCAATACCTATTCTCCCAGGAGGCCCAAGGAAGCCAGCCTCAGTGTGTCAGAGTGATTTCCACAGGCACCTCTCCTTCGAGTCAGCAGCCCTTTTTCCCTCTGGTTCCCAGGCTGTGTCTGCTCACTTAAGGGTCCTTTCCTGGAGGCAATCGTGTAGAGACCCGGGCTTCCCCATGACCAAGGTCAATTTGATGTTAACGGACGAGCCTGGAATACCCAGCCAAGGCCTGATAGCCCAATCTGGTCCCAAAGGGCTGACCCTAGTTCCGAAGAGCCAACCTAGACCCTAAGACCCCAAGACCCCAACCTAGTCCTGAATAGCCAAAGACAGTCCCAGAGGGCGGAGCCTAGCTCCAAAGAGCCAAAGCTCAGTCCCAAAAGGAAGGGAGGCATCTAGCCCTGAAGAGCTGAGCCCAGACTAGAACAGCTGTAGCCAGTCCCGAAGGGCAGAACCTCACCCCGAAGAGCCTAGCCCAGCCTGGAAGAGCCCAGCCTCACCCCTAAACAATACCTACTCTCCCAGCAGGCCCCAGGGAGCCAGCCTCAGTGTGTCAGAGTGACTTCCACAGACTCCTCTCCCTGGAGAGGCAGGAGCCCTTTCAACCTCTGTACCTCCCTTTTATAGCTGTTTAGTGTTCCGTTATATGGATGAACTTAATGGAATTGGTTCTCTGTCCGTTGGCATGCCATTTGGGAGGTTTCTGATCTTCTAAGTGTATTGTAAACAATGCGGAAATGAATTGTCTTGGACATCTACCATTTTTCAAATATACTAGTATTTCTTTGGGGTAAATTTTAGAAGTAGAATTGCTCTTTCAAAAAGTTCCTGGCTTATCTCTACCTTACAAAGACAGGGTTCTCGAAAAATGTTTCCAAAATTAACAAAACAGTCTTATTTTTAAATGTGGGATTATATGGAAACAACGTATTCTCTATTTGGAAATATAATGAGACATAGACAGTAAGCATCCATCTTCAGTTTTAATAATATATCTTGGGGTATATTTATCCTGCGCAAAAACCACAGGTACAAAAGCCATCTTTCATTTTTAAATAAAAGCTCAGGGAGTTTTGATTTGTCTGAAAGGATTCAGCAAACTACTAACTTACCCCGGTTAGCATTGTCTGCTTAGTGTGTGTGTGTAATAAACATCTACTTAATTAACAGTGTTTTCTCTTTCTCCCCCTTTCCTTTCTGCTTCCATTTGTTTCATCTGCTGCTGCCAACACTTTCTTCCAACCAGCAAATGGTTTGTTTTATGTTTCCTAATTTGCGAGCACGTGTGTGTGTGTGTGTGTTTCCCCACTGTACTAAATTCATGTTGTGCTGTTTTCTTCTTCCCGAAACGGAGCTCCTGATATGATAAAGTCTTAGAAAATGCAGTTTAAGAAGTGAGGATAGATTCAGTGGGTCTGCCTCCAGTGTTGGCAGGGATGTTCTCCAGAGAACCACAAAGCTGCTGATTGCCAGCTTCGCTTCATAACATGCCCCAGCAAGAGAAAGAGGACAACTCGTTCTTTAAAAATTGAATTACCTGTGTATGTGTATACATTCACTCACATTTTTAAAATTATAAAGTGAGATTTTTCTCATCAGCTATTTAGAATATATGAGAGCTTTTTATTATTTGTAGGAGAGGGAAGAAACTTTTTGTTTTTTAAGGAAAGTGCCCTTGGTTTGAAAGCAAATGTTAAGACAAGGGTGCTTCCTCCTGCTGGCCATCTCGTTATTCCACTGCCCAGTGAATCCTGGCACAGTTGCTTTTCCCAGTTGGGGTACCTGAGCGCCACCCTGTTCCTGAGCATGTGCCAAACGGTCTCCTCGGTGGAAAGGGAGCTTGAGCCTTCTCTTTAAAACTTCTCTGTTTTTCTCTGAAGTCTCATTTACCATCATCCCACCACAACCCATCAGGGAGCCTGGTGTGAGGAGGATGTCCCTGTACTTTTTCAAAAGACGATATGTTATGGGTTGGTTCTACAGTGCCATGAGACAACTCTCTTGTTATGCTTTTTGTGAAGTGTTTTGTGTGTGTGTGTGTGTGTGTGTGTGTGTATCAATATATAAAGCATAGGTTCAGTAACAGCCACCGCTGGCCCCTCTGTGATGTCCAGCACACTCACAGCCATGACATGAGTCTACGTCCGTGACTTCTTGATAGGCAGTCCACCGGACACATTTCAGACATTTTATACGTTTCTTTTCTTTTCCCTGAACAAATTAGATTGACTTCCTAAATTCAGTAATAGTGGACCTTCAGAGGAAGAATCAAGACCTCAAGCTGAAGGTGGAAATGATGTCAGAAGCAGCCCTTAATGGGAATGGCGATGACCTAAACAATTACGACAGGTATTTCATATGAGACAATACTGTTCAGTTCCATCTCAGTAAACTGTGTTTTTAAAGTTAGGTTCTTCAGTGGGTTGGAGAGACAGTTGCCCTGTGGCTGATTGGCCATAAATCCATCCCCATAATTCTGGCAAGACAGTGATGCATATACACTATAATGTAAACATTTTATTTATTTTTTAACTTTTTAAAAATATATTTTTATTGACTTTTAGAGAGAGAGGAAGGGAGAGGGATAGAGAGTTAGAAACACAGAGGGAAAAAAAATAACATGGGAGATTAAATATGGTGGTGGAGTAAGTAGATGCTGCGAGGACACGCTCCCAGGACCAAACTGGAATTGCAACTAAAATGCAGAAAAACTTCCTGAATAATCAATGGGAGACTCACTGGAGAGAACCATGATAACTGAGGACGGAAAGTAGAGACAGCATAGAGACTGGTAGGAGGGGCTGAGGCACGAAAGGGTTGGCCGGGCTTCCATAGACAGGGATTGGAGTTCCTGAGAGATATGTCAGCTGTGGGGGGTTGCCACTGAGAAATCTGGGGTCTAATCCACAAGCTGGGCCCCCCAGCAGAGAGCACCAGAACTGAGGAAGGTACCCACATCTGGGTGTAAAAAGCAATGGGGTTGCTGTCTGACAGGGAGAGACGGCTGGAAATTCAGGCACCCTCTTAAAGGGCCAATGCACAAAATTCCCTCTGAAGCTACTCACCTTGTGCTCTGGCAGAGGGAGGGCAGAATGAACTGGAGCTGTATGAGCAGAAGCCAAGATCAGGGGCTCAGGTTAGAGCTCAGAAGGCAGACACCTGGTTTCCTGTCCTGAGTCATTCCCTCATGCTGCAGAGGTCATCTTTCTCATGCAGACATTTTCTATACAGTCAGCTTTGCCTCGGGGGTACACACCTTGAGCACTGCAGAGTTTCTGAGGTCCAGTAAGAAACTGAGAATAACAATTAGCCCCCAGGCAGAAGCAGTTGCCCCACCCTGTTGAAAAAAACTCACACCACACCTGAGGATGATTGCCTAAGGGCAATTTAAGACAGGGTTCTATCAGTTTGTAAGCAGAGGCGGTCTCTGGAGGCTTTGAGTCTTTGCCTCATCTAATTAGACAGAAACAGTGTTTGTCACTGTCGTGTACTAGAGATTGAGAGGCATAGAAGACCTATCTAACACATAGTCACAAATCCAAACAGGCAGCCAAAATGAGGAGTCAAAGAAACAACCCCCAAATGAAAGAACAAGAGAATTCTCCAAAAGAGTTAAATGAAATGGAGATAAGAAATTTATCTGATATAGAGTTCAGAATAATGACGGTAAAGATGCTCAACAGCATGAGAAAAGATGTAGTAATTATGAAAACAGAAATAAAGAACACAATTGGAAGGAATACACAGAAGATTAGGAGAAAATGAGGATCTAATCAGTGAATTAGAAGACAGGGTTAAAAAAAATCACTCAGAGAACCAAAAAGAAAAAACAAGAGGACAACTTAAAGCTGTGAGACAACATGGAATGTAACAATATTCAAATAGCAGGTGTGCCAGAAGTGGTAGCAAGGGAGAGAGGGATAGAGAATGTGTTTGAAGAAATAAATGGTGTTGGGAAAATTGGACAGATACATGCAAAAAAAAATGAAACTAGACCACCAACTTATACCATACACATAAAATAAACTCAAAATGAATAGACTTAAACATAAGATGGGAAACCATAAAAATCGTAGAGGAATCCACAGGCAGCAAAGTCTCAGACATATGCCAAAGCAATATCTTCACCAATACAGCTCCTAGGGCAATGGAAACTAAAAAAAATAAACAAATGGGACTACATAAAATAAAAAGCTTCTGCACAGAAAAGAAACCACAAAACAACAAGAAAGCCCACTGCATGGGAGAACATACTTGGCAATGATACATCTGATAAAGGGTTTATATCCAGAACATGTAAGGAACTCATACAATTTAACAAAAGGAAGATAATCCAATTAAAAAATGGGCAAAGGACCTAAATAGATGACATTCAGATGGCCAAGAGACATGTGAAAAAATCCTCAAAGTCATTGATAATCAGAGAGATGCAAATTAAAATTCCAATGAGGTATCACCTCATACCTGTCAGAATGGCTACCATCAACAGTCCAACAAATGACAAGTGTTGGCGAGGATGTGGATAAAAGGGAACCCTAGTACTTTGCCGGTGGGAATGCAGACTGATGCAGCCATTATGGAAAACAGTATGGCGTTTCCTCAAAAAATTAGATATGGAACTGCCATTTGACCCACTTCTAGGAATATATCCTAAGAAACCCGAAACACCAATCAAAGAATGTATTCACCCCTATGTTCATGGCAGCACAATTTACACTAGCTGAGATCTGGAAACAGCCCAAGTGCCCATCAGGAGATGAGCAGATAAGAAAAAGAAACATTGATGAGAGAAACAACATCAGTTGGCTGCCTCCTGCACACTCCCTACTGGGGATGGAGCTGGAAACCCGGGCATGTGCCCTGATCCAGAATTAAACCAGTGGCTTCCTGGTTCATGGGGGTCGACCCCCACCCACTGAGCCACACCAGCAGGGCTGATGTGAGCATTTTATTTTATTTTATTTTTTTTAATATATTTTACTGATTTTTTCACAGAGAGGAAGGGAGAGGGATAGAGAGTCAGAAACATCGATGAGAGAAACATCGATCAGCTGCCTCCTGCACACCCCCTACTGGGGATGTGCCTGCAACCAAGTTACATGCCCTTGACCGGAATCGAACCCGGGACCCTTCAGTCCGCAGACTGACGCTCGATCCACTGAGCCAAACTGGTTAGGGCTGATGTGAGCATTTTAAATAGGGATTGCAGTAATTACACTTGAGGTTTGCAGACTTGGCCATAACTCTTGCTTGTTTTTTGTCCTTTACAAGTGGTGGAAATGAGTTTCTGTTTTTCATTATTAAGTCTATTGGGGTGACATTGGTTAATATGTGAGTTTCTGATCGTACACATGAACCTTTGCAGTGACGACCAGGAGAAACAGTCCAAGAAGAAACCTCGCCTCTTCTGTGACATATGTGACTGCTTCGATCTCCACGACACAGAGGACTGTCCCACCCAGGCGCAAATGTCGGAGGACCCCCCTCACTCCACACACCACGGCAGTCGGAGCGAGGAGCGCCCGTACTGTGAGATCTGTGAGATGTTTGGGCACTGGGCAACCAACTGCAACGACGACGAGACCTTCTGACGAAGCCTCACATCCAGGACTGGGCTTTCTCGGACGCACCAGCATCTGGGCAACCGAACACCAGCATTACGTGTGCAGACTTCCGGACCACTCACGTTATTTTTGACCCCCACCAACAAATCTAAGAAAATATTTTGATCTTCAACAAATCGCCCTTTTAGTTTCCCCGTATACATTAGAATAATAAATACTTAGGAGGTGAGTTTTCACCTCTTATTTTTGGCGTCTTGATTTTTAAGTTCCAACAGGACGTTGCACCTGAGGTCGTTACATAGATTGTCCCGAGGGAAACCTCCAAGAACAATCCCTACCCTCCAGTACCTTATTTAAGTAACTTTAAATTATGCCATTCTCATATTTGCACTAAAATCTTCCCAGGCTGCGTTTTTGTATAGTGAGATGTTTTAGTTAAGCTTTGACACTGGAATGAGTTGAAAAACAATGCCATTTTGCATTTTCATCTACTCATCTAGAGCATTTTATTTTTAGTTGAAATATCTGAGATCTTTGCACTACCTGATGTCAGTAGTGCCTTTACTTCAGGCGTGGTATCACTTAGGTGTGATGTTAAATCATGAAACAGGTAAAGGGAGGGGGGAGCCCCCAAACTGCTGTGGGACGTTTTATAATCGATATGCTGCACCCACTTACTCTACTGTGGCGCTTTGTGTATTGGTTTTGCATAATTTCAGCTATATATTGTATGTATATATTTTTTAAAAATCTCTATTTTGGGAAAAAGGATTCACAATTGTGTCTTTCTTTTCAGATTTTTACCTTTATGAAAAAGAAAACACTTAGAATGTTTATCAGGATGTAATGGGCTAGGCCAGAAATAGCATCACACAGCTTTGGAGCTATTTTTTATTTTTGTTTTCATTTTGTTTCTTTTTCAGATCTAAATGAATACAATATTTTTCCTTCTCTAGCAGATATCCCCAGCAGTCGATTAATTAGATAATAAGCTGCTATACAACACTTACATTAACCAATCTACAATCTTTACAAGTTGTATTTACTGTCTTTTTAGATGAATGTATGATGAGAAATTCAATATTAATAATTTTGGATTTTCTTATCACAAAAAATTAAATGAAGGACCTCAGCCACCAGAAGTTTATCAACCAGTTTTATTAAACTATTTATCTTGTTTTGAATTGAATGTCTTCTAGAAGATGTAAAAAGTAATAAATAAATGTATCTCCATGCTACGTGTATAATAAGAACTTCTATAATTGTACATATGCCTTTGATGTATTTTCCCCTCAAGATTATTAACTGTATTTGACAAGTGAAAAACCTGTAATCAATTGAAATTTCTGGTTATAAACATAATAGGAATTGTTTCACAAACAATATGTAAAGCAGTATTAAAATTTGAGCAAAAAATGTTCTGTACCTACTTTATTTTAGTTAAAAAATACCATTCTTTTTTTTTAAAGTTTTTAAAAATATATTTCTTTATTGATTTCAGAGAGTAAGGGAGAGGGAGAGAGATAGAAACATCAGTGATGAGAGAGAATCATTGATTGGCTGCCTCCTGCACATCCCCTACTGGGGATTGAGCCCGCAACCCAGGCATGTGCCCTTGACTGGAATCGAACCTGGGACCCTTCAGTCCACAGGCCGACGCTCTATCCACTGAGCCAAGTCGGCCAGGGCTAAAAAAATTAATTCTTTATTGTTGAAAGTATTATATACTAGTACTAGAAGTTCCCCTTCTTCCCCCATTGACCCCCTCCAGCTCGCCCCACCTCCACCCTTTACCTCCCCATTGTCTGTGTCCATGGGCCATGCATATAAAGTCCTTAGTTGATTACCTCCCACTCACTCATCCTCCTCCTCCCTCCCTGCTCTCCCCCTTGCCTTCCCTCTGAGATTCTGCACTCTGTCCCATGCTTCCATGTCTCTGGATCCACTCTGTTCATCAGTTTATTTTGTTAGTTAGATTCCACATATGAGTGAGATCATGTGATTCTTGTCTTTCTCTGACTGACTTATTTCACTTAGCATGATGCTCTCCGGTTCCCTCCATGCTGTCTCAAAGGGTAAGACATTCTTCTTTCTTACTGCTGCACAGTATTCCATGGCATAAATGTACCACAGCTCATCTACGGATGAGCATTTGGGCTGTTTCCAGATCTCAGCTATTGTAAATTGTGCTGCTATGAACATAGGGGTGCATATATCCTTTCTGATTGGTGTTTTGGGTTTCTTAGGATATATTCCTAGAACTGAGATCACTGGGTCAAATGAAAGTTCCATATTTAATTTTTCTTTTTCTTTTTTTTAAAACATATTTTATTGATTTTTCACAGAGAGGAAGGGAGAGGGATAGAGAGCCAGAAACATCGATGAGAGAGAAACATTGATCAGCTGCCTCCTGCACACCTCCTACTGGGGATGTACCCGCAACCAAGGTACATGCCCTTGGCGGGAATCGAACCTGGGACCTTTCAGTCCGCAGGCCGACGCTCTATCCACTGAGCCAAACCGGTTAGGGCAAGGATTTAATTTTTCGAGGAAACGCCACACTGTTTTCCATAATGGTTACACACCAGTCTGCATTCCCACCAGCAGTGTACTAGGATTCCCTTTTCTCCACATGCTGGCCAGCACTTGTCATTTGTGGATTTGTTGTGGTAGCCATTCTGACAGGTGTGAGATGATACCTCATCGTTTTAATTTGCATCTCTCTGATGATCGGTGACTTTGAGCATTTTTTCATATGTCTCTTGGCCATCTGTATATCCACTTTGGTGAAGCATCTATTTTAAATAGATACAATAAAAGCATGATATGCTAATGAGACCGGACAGCTAAAGATCTGGACGTCATTCTGGATGTCCTGGACGAAGCTGCGGCAGTGGGGGCCAAGGCAGAGGTGGTTAGGGGCAATCAGGCAGGCAGGCAAGTGGTTAGGAGCCATCAGCAGGCAGGTGAGTGGTTAGGGGCGATGAGGCAGGCAGGCAGGTGAGCAGTTAGGAGCCAGCAGTCCTGGATTGCAAGAGGGTGCAGGCCTGGCTGAGGGACCCTACCCCATCGTGCACTAATTTCATGCACTGGGTCCCTAGAGTGTGTGTACTTTAACAAATGGTTATTCTTTTTGCCCAGTGGTACTGATATTTTCAGTTTCATTTGTCATAATGGTTTTTCTTCAAATGAGCAACACTATAGATCCAAATAGCAATTTTTACTGCAGTCTTGCTGATAAACAGCTTTAAGAAGTTGGTATATTCTTTTTAAAAATGTTTTTATTGATTTGAGAGAGAAGACTATCGATCCGAGGAAGAAACATCGATTGGTTGCCTCCTATAGGCACCCCAACGGTGACTGAACCTGCTACCTGGGCATGTGCCCTTGACCAGGAATTGAACCGGTGACCCGTGGGTGCGCAGGGCTGGGAGGGCTGGCGCTCTGACCACTGCGCCACCGGCCAGGGCCTGATAAGCTTTTGTATGTGAATGACGTGCTCCTAGGATTCCTACAACTGATGAGGTAATATGTGAATTTTACTAATGAAGCAAGTGCGGGGACCTGAATTCTACATCGGATAGTATTTCCTAAGAAAAAGTCTACTAAGAAGAGCCAAACAGACAAGTCCCTCAGGTTCCTTCAGACCCTGGCCATTTCTCTAAATTTTAGCCCACAAACCAAAAGAGCAAAGAGTTTAATCGCTCTGACTGAAAATATTCCCATTCACATTTAGCTTCAAATTACCGTTTTACAGCGAGTACACTCGCTGCTAAGATGAAAGTGGCGATTTTTAACACTTCCAGTGGTTCTCAACCTTCTGGCCCTTTAAATACAGTTCCTCATGTGGTGACCCAACCATAAAATTATTTTCGTTGCTACTTCATCACTGTCATGTTGCTACTGTTATGAATCGTCATGTAAATATCGGATATGCAGGATGGTCTTAGGCGACCCCTGTGAAAGGGCCGTTCGACCGCCAAAGGGGTCGCGACCCACAGGTTGAGAACCGCTGAACCGACGAGCAGGAGCCAGTCTCCGCCTTTAAACTCCTATGTCAGCGCCCAGCGACTTCCACGAGGAGACAGCGTTAGAGAAGAAACGGGCGGCGCTAGGGCCTGGAGGCGCCGCGGGGGCCGGCCGGCTGGGTTTCCAGGTTTGCGTGCCGACGCCAGCGTGGTCACGTGAACTCACTGCCACGTGACTCCGCCTGCGGCCCGTGGAAGGGGCAGAGGGGACGCGCTTGGATGAGGAGAGAAAGGGGGGCGGAGGGGCAAGATGGCGACCCACCTGTCCTACGGACGAGTGAACCTGAACGTGCTGCGCGAGGCGGTGCGTCGCGAGCTGCGCGAATTCCTGGACAAGTGCGCGGGAAGCAAGGTGAGGGGCGGGATGTAGCCGCGGCGCCCTGAAGCCCCGTCCGGCCTGCCCTCCTCCGGTCCGACCGCTCGGGCTCCTGTTGGCTGAGGTACCTGGAGCTTCCCCGGAGGCGAGCAGGTGGCGGGTCCCCGGGCAGACGGCCCTGACTCCGCGTGGCGTCGCGCTGTTTTGTGGCAGCAGAGGCCGCCGCCGTGTTGTCTCGGCCCCTGTGACCAGCTTACGTCCGGTGCCCTGCAGACACCGCGCGGGTGGGGTGATGATGCCTCGCGTTACCAGGATCATGGGTGTCGGAACGAATCAGACGTGGGAAAGTCCCTGGAGCACCAACGCCGGATCCCCCGCTGCGCGTGCGATGACGAGAGAAGTTGTCACTTGAGGTTTTCCCCGGACCGTCCTGTTAGCACCCAGTTCACGGTGGAAGCAGAAACTGTAGGTCAGGGACTTCCGACTGATACCATTACCGCTCCCCCGAGAACCTGTGCGCTCCCCCCGCCCCCTGAGTACCTGGCAGTAAAACTCTGACCGGAAAAGGAGAACGGAGGGAACTCAGGGTCCCGTCTTAGGAAGAAGAGAAAGCCAAGCAGGAGAGTGGGTGCCAGCAGCCATGAGAGGAGCAAACAGGCTAAGTCCCGGATGCTCAGACCGGAGTCAGGTCACGGATGGGGTCACACTGCCAGTGCCCAGCTGTGAGATTGGACAGTGTCGCCATTGGAAACTGGGTGACGTGTAGGAGGGAGGGATGCTTCTGGAGCACTTCTTACAAC